CGAGATAGTGCTAAGGACCCCCCATCCACCATCGACACTAGAACGTATTGTCGGGGATAGCCCGTGAAATCTAGAATGCGACGGCATCAACTACCGGCATATGTCTTGTTCGCCGTGACCAGGGGAACTGGAGCGTCTATCCTTTCTTCCGGTCAATCCGGTTTCCAATAATAATCATTCCCCCTACGCCTCGGTGCTAATGAAACATCGCGGTGGAAGGTGTCTGAGCTTTGCGCCACTGATCACGTAGTTTGCGCAACACCGAGAGGCAAATTTCTTAACCGCTACATTGCTAGGCAGGTACAGATGAGGTGGACGGTAAAGCCGATGCAGTGCATTCTTCTACACTCCCTGCCTTAGCGATCAGGTGGTGCCACCGGGATGGCAGTGTTGACTGTGGACAGTACTGACACGGCAAATGCATCCGACCATAACGTCTTGTAAAACATACATCAATCTCGGCTAACTTTCTTTCTATCAAATCCGTCTGTTGATTCACCATGGCCTGACAATGTACCCAGTCAGCTGGAGGCTACCCCGGACCATAGACTCAATGTTCAATGTATTGCATTTGGGACTCAATAGGTCTCAGTGAACGCGACTCTGAGCTCATGACTGATGCAGGTATTAGCCATAACGGATCATACCATGGGCCCATCAAGTCCACATGGACAGGAGAGATATGCCAATCCCGCCGGCTCGCTTACCGCACCCTCGAACTGGAAAGGCTCCGTTGAACTCAAGCTTTTGCATCTAACATCGATTGGCTGAAATACCCCACAATGGAACTCCTTCGCAGAAGTTCACGAGGATGTGGTGGCGAATCAGCAGGTTTCCTGTATCCCTGACCAGTCCTTGCCAGCCGTCCCCAGAATCCCTGCCCCGGAATGCTCCAGCACACGACACGCCCGCTCGGAGAGCTCCTAATTCCTATTTCCCCAGTTCTAACGCACACCTGAATGTGGGGATCTCGGTGAGCATTCAGGTGTATGGTGAAATTGCCAAGACTGGAGGTCTGGGGTAGTCATCCCAGCCTTCACATATAGCCTGGCAGGACGGGAATGATCTTCTCTGTCAGACCAACAACCTCTCTAGCTTTGATTTATTCTCGCAGTCCTCATCGCTCATTGCTTTCTGCATTCCATCGTCTTAGACTAATCGTGTTTCTATGGGAGCCACCGGTGGAGGCATCTCCAAGGATGCCCTGAAACAAGTTCCCAAACCAGCCCGAGCGGCATTCATCTGGCTGGTGGCCATCTGGGCCTCCTACTGTGGTAGTCTTCACGGCTTCAACTCTTCCAACATCTCCGGTGTGATGGGAATGAGTGCCTTCAAGCATGAGTATGGCTGGGACTCGCTTTCCTCGGGGACTGTCACCAACTACAAGGGCTGGGTCACCTCCTCAATGCTGCTGGTAAGTGGCTCTCGAGTAGCTTTCGTGTCTTTCCATCTCCCTAGCGAGCACATAGAGTATCCACGATCATCTTCCTGGTCGACTGACCAAACCACAGGGCCAAACCGCAGGCATCCTCCTCTCGGGCCCGATCATGGAACGCCGTGGCCGCAAACCGGTGATTCTGTTGGCTGCGATCGCATACACCATCGGTGCGCTGCTCATGGCGGTCAACTTCGGTTCTCTGGCCGAACTCATGGTAGGCCGAACCGTCTCTGGCCTGGGGTCTGGCATCGCCTACTCGGCAGGCCCCGTCTACATTTCCGAAGTGGCGCCCACCGAGCTCCGCGGCATGATGTCCACCTTCTACAACGCCGGCATCATGTCCGGCGTGGCTGGGGCGTATTGGATCAACTACGCCGTGACGATGGTGATCCCCGCGGGATCCGAATGGCAATGGCGGATTCCGATGATCCTACAGCTCATCCCATCCGCCATTCTGTTGGTGGGCTACCCCTTCTGTCCCGAAAGCCCTCGGTTCCTCATGATGCGCGGCCAGGTTGCCGCCGCACGCCGCAACCTCATCCGCCTGCGTGGTGGGCTCGACGAACGCAACGCCTACTTTGCCCGCGAGTACACCGAGCTACGCAACAAAGTCGACCACAGCGAGGACGCCCCCGCCACCGGCCAGTCGCCCTGGAAGTCCATCCAGCAGTCCTGCCGGCAGTTCGCCTCCGACCCGACCTTCCGCAAGGTCCTGGTGCTGGTCCTCTTCATTCAGACCTTCTTCATCATGTCCGGCGGCAACAGCATCACCTACTACGCCCCGACCATCCTGGCCTCGATCGGCTTCAACTCCTCGAAAGTCCTCCTCTTCACCGCAGTGTATGGCACCATCAAGTTCCTGTCGGTGTTTCTATACGCCTTCTTCCTCACTGAGCGCTTCGGCCGCCGGCCCCTCCTCCTCGCCGGCTCCGCCATCAACCTCGTCTGCCTGATCTACATCGCCGCCTACCTGGGCAAAGCCGACCTCTCGGCCACAACCAGCAGCCCCAGCGCAGCAGCCATCATCGCCGTCGTTGCCCTGTGTGTCTTTGCCGTCGGCTACGGCTTCGGCTGGGCGCCCGCGTTTTCCCTGACTGCCTCGGAGATCTGCCCGACCAGCATGCGCGGCACGGTCATCACGCTGGCATTCACCTACCAGAACCTGCTCAACTTCGGCATCACCCGCGGGTTCCCCAACATGACCGTCGCCATGCACCCCTGGGGCCCGTTTGCGCTGTTCGCCGCCTGCACCTTCTGCGGCACCATCTGGGTCTTCTTCGCCTTCCCGGAGTGCAAGGGCCGCAGTATGGAAAGTACCGGGGCTCTGATGGCGCTGCCCTGGTACAAGGTCGGGTTCGAGCCGGTTCCGGTGCAGCAGGAGCTACAGTGGGCTGAGGAGACAGGGGGGAAAGATGTGGAGAAGGATGCGTATTCGGAGCATGAGGAGACGGTGGTGGAGAGGGTGAATGAGGGGATGACTGGGAGGTAAGTATGGAGACAAAGAGGTGCCAGAGAAGGACTTGATTTGTTCAGGTGGCACTAGGAGATGTTGTTGCGAGGATTGAGCGGGAGATTGTGTTTGTATATAGATTCTTGAGAAATGTGGACGTTGAGTGAAAACGTATATGGGTTTACCTTAGGTTACCTTGACAAGATGGAAGGGTTTTCAGCGGAGTTGATATTGATCCCTTCCTTGGCTAAGGCTTTGCTTTTCAGTGTTGACATGCTCGTCGGAGCCGCTGTTATTGTAATGCTTACCTTGCTGCATCTCTCACAGGTCTAATCTATTGTGTAGGGATTGTCAATACAAACATATCTTGGAGCCCTTACCCACAGCCATATCGGACATATTCGGTGCGGGGTAGGTCCTACAGACTCACATTTGGGGAGATAGTTCCCCTATCATGCACGCTATATCTCTAACCTTCCTCGAGAACACGCATCACGGTCACACTTACTTCAAACGAGTGCACAAAATCAAACCCCCAGACAAGATCAACTATAACATTCCAGCCCCAGAGGCCCGGCTACTCAGAAGCGCGTGTAGTACATCACACATTCGGAGATCAAGGTCAGCCGTGGTCCACTCGTCCAGTCAGTGGTCCTTTGCAAGAGCTACCCAAGGTGGAAAAGGGAAGCGGATTCTCAGGCAGGCGGCGTTTCTCAACGCGGGTAAGAGACTCTGCCCTTGGAGTAGGCGAGACAGCATGACAGGCTACTTGAGCCTCGGTTCGTTCTGGGTAGGTGACCATAATTACTCTGCCGAGGTCAGTCCACTACCTTCGCCCCGGAGGAAATCGATGTTAGCAGTGGAGTTCCTCCGGCAGCCGTTACGGTGCCCTTTTCTTATCGCGCGCGAGTCGATTATCAGCCCCGGAGTACTCTCCCAATCGCCAATGGGGATAGAGGTGGCGTGCTCCGGTACCCTGCCAAGTCCCAGCATATTACTCAGAACTTCAGCTTTTGTGGATGCCAGGTAGGTAGTACGCGAGTCAGGGCTTGGCAAGCTGGATGGTGTGCGTCGCTCAACAGAATGGACCCTGCGGAATACTTCCGATACAGCTAAGGTAACGCCTGCATGGAAATCAATCTTATCAGATAACCGGTGGATCCTTCCCAGCTCCACTACAACTGAATCTATACATATCGCCGACCGCTTGCTTGATCACTAATCATCTTGACTACGTAAACTCTTAAAATTTGGTGGATGCCAAGGACCCTTGAAAAGATGGAGACCTCCATCCATGCACGCTATTGGACCCTGACCTCGGTTTCTGGATTAAACTGGAGCCATGTACAGTACAGTGCCTGTGTTCTCCTCGAGCCTGCAGGCTACGTATATCAGGTCGAAAGAAAGGCGGAGCCTGTCTTGGCCTCATGGCCCGGCACTGGCACTCCGTTGCGCTCATCTTTCCATTTCGGCGGGATGGCAACCGTGTTATCAAACTGCAGAGCTTGGTTTGATTCTCGATGAATTCGCTACTTGTTTTCCAAATCCTTCACCTAAGCGCAGCCTACTCCACCTGAAGGTAAAGGGCTCAGATATTAGTCCCACACTCGACCCATGAAAAGCGCTAGTTCAATTTTCATACTGCCTGTTTCGCAAGAAGCTCCGTATTGGCTCGTAAGTCTGGCCTGTACAGTCCACAGCGTAGGAGGCTTAGATGCACGTAGGAGTAGTAGCAGATTTGTTGTAAAGAAAGGAGGCATCAATGAATAGTTTACAAGACAATGATTAAGCCGGCATCAGATTTTTACCCTAAACATGTATCTTTCTCAAGCTCCCTGGAGAACACAGAAGCAAAGTAAGGTGGCTAAAGGTGGCAGGGAAGCTACACAGACAACGAGGGTATTTCTGCGACGTGATCAATTTTACTCAGGGGTGACTTTCCTTGCTCCTCAACCGAGGCGATGGGAGAGACAAGAACAGAAGACAATTGCGGTCAGGGCGATCAGGAGATTCCGGTTGTGAGACCATATCTTACTGCCGACTGTTGCGCAGAGGCGTTTGTGAAGTATTTAATCTCTGAAAAAACGACCCCTTCGTCTTCCCAAAAGCTTCCACCAAGTCAGCATACCAGACCCTCTGGTCATTCCTTTTTCTAATTCTCGCCCGTCCGATAACCCGTACTGTACTGTACCATGCCTGTTTCTCTATCTGCTCTGGGACTAACGGTCCTCGGACTGGTTGGTGTCGCCACCGCAGCCCCTTCGTGCAGCCCCGGGCAGTGGGTAAACCTCACTTCAATCCCCCAGCCCCGTCAGGAGCACGCCACCGCCGCGATAGGAGACTCCATCATCGCCATTGTCGGTGGCATCATCCCAACGGCAAACAGCACGGCGACGACCGATCTAGTGCAACTCTACGATGTTACCACGGACATTTGGCGCACTGTTGCGCCCGCACCGCACAAGGTCAACCACGCCAATGCGGCTGGGGTGGGTGACAAACTGTACTTGCTCGGCGGCCTGGTCGAGGCTCCTCTCTCGCCGGGCATGACCATGAATTGGGTGGCTACTCGCGCCTGCTACGTTTATGATCCTGCGGTAGATGCCTGGAGTGAGATTGTTTCAATGCCTAGCGGCACTGAGAAGGGCAGCGCAGTGGTTGGGGTGCACGGGGAGATGATCTACCTCGCCGGTGGGATGACGGTGCTGCAGACAGGGTATCAGGATGCGGTGACGAGTGTCATCGCCTTAAACACCACCTCGGGATCCTGGCAGCGCCTCGACGCCGCTGCCGCCGAGCTTCCTGAAAGCCGTCAACATGCGGCCGGTGCGGTTATTGGAGATTCCTTCTATGTGGTGGGTGGCCGACGGTACGGACAGCTCTACCACAAGGACACGGTGTTTGAGCTGGACTTGACAGACCTGGCAGCTGGTTGGAGTACCAGCGTAGGTCGGATGCCAGTGTCGCGGGGCGGCTTGTCTGGCGGTGCCGTTGGGGGTAATTTCTACGCGTTCGGTGGGGAAGGCAATATCGATGCTGCCACCGGAGTGTTCAATCAGACGCAGAAGTATAACCCCCAGTCGCAGAAGTGGACCGAGTTGGCGCCCATGCCCGTTCCACGCCATGGAACTCAAGCTGTTGGCCTAGGCGATCGGGTCTATATCCCCGGAGGTGGGCTGCAGCAGGATGGCAAGTCGGTTTCGGTCGATGGAGGGCCGGTGACCTTCCAGCATCCCACCGCCCATTTCGATGCCTACTGCCCTTGATGGGTGGGATTGCGCTCCCCAGTGTTCGTTGAGGTCGAAGTATTTCATGTAGTATACATAAGAGACGTTACCTGCCTTTCTTGTCGGAGGTATTAGCACGGACTACGCGGCGGTGTGCGTGCGGAATGATTGTTGCCCTATGGGTCTGTGAATAGTTGCCTTAGTCTTTCGCTACAGTCCTATGAGGTGAAGAGAAATTTATACTGGCCGAATACAGCTTAGAAAGACTTGTGAATAGTTACACATCGTGTGGGATATCAAATCCAAGACTCCACCTCCGCTAGGCTCGGAAAGGCCTAGTGGTTCAACCCCTTTTATTGGCCAATCCAATGATTCAAACTTAAGAAAACAAGGAGCTTACCTTCATATTCTGATATGGATATATATTCAAGGGCACTAACCCTCCTAAGAACCTATAAATCTACTCACATGATGAGTCTTTCTAAGAAACGTAAGGAAAACCGTAAAGAAGTTCCAAGAGGACAGAGAGGGCTCACACACTACGACATCCCTCGCCCCACAAGGACCCTAGAACCCTTTATCGTAGAATAACTGTCGATCACTGATCGTTCTTCCCCGGCCATCCTCCGCTGTATCCGCTATACAATACAAACTCCGTTTTGCTTTTTGTTCTCTCTCTTTCCTTGTTGAGGAAGAGATTTCCCCGCTGCATGTTTGAGTTCCAACCACCCCCATTTTCTTTGCGAAGATCTGTATGAAGATGGACCAAAAAGTCCACCCTCGGAAACTTTATAATCAGTTTTCATACAGGGATCAGTTATGGCCAGGACGCGAATTAATCTGACTTAGGTGGAATAACATGCGGAGCAAGAAGGGAAAAAGATCCAGCTCTATGGTTCATTCCAAACCCTCTCATGCCACAACAGTACTTGCAGAAATCTGGCTCGACGGAAATGTCCTTTCCCGTTGTACGACGGCTATATTCTTTACCTTGTCACAGGAACTATGAGTATATCACTTAAGCGGGGCGGTTAGACGCGGGCCCCATATTCTCTGGCTTCTGTCTGATTCTTTGATTATCTGATAATCAATCTACTGATCTGATTCTCCGACCGGTAATGGTATTGTACTGTACCTTGGTCTTATATCTGGGATTTGTTCGGTATAGGAGATTGGGGTTTACTAGAACGAAGTCTCTAGGTCAAGCTCCCACCCGCTACCAATATTCATTAGTTCATCAGTTTTTGGCAGTTTCTCTATTCCCAAAGGAGAATTGCCATCTCTATTTCTATCACCAAGAGATCCAGAGCAGGAACCCTAGATCAGTCGCCTTCTCCAGCAATGTTGATGCCGCTTACGTGAAACAAGCAAAGGGGATGGGCATGCATCATGATAATCTCCGGCAGCGAGCGTCTACTGTCCGTTGTAGGAAATAGAGCCGTGCCCCTACCCACGTGGGGCCCGCGGTGGGTCATTCCGGAGTAGAATGTCGAGGACGACGCCTTAATCAAAAGTGAAAAGTGCTTTCGAAAAGATATACACAACTTTGCGTGCACAACGGCTCCTTGGCAATAGCAGAGACTGCAACACGAGTCAGGGATGCCCGATACCCAGATGTAAAATCTTGGGATGGAAATATCCCTCTTTTCTCTCTTGCATCTATAAAACCTCGACAGGCCCCCTCAGGTTTTACCAAAAGTATCAGAGACATTGGATTTCATTCCCCAGTTCAGGCAAGCTATAGTAACGCCCATTGCAAAATGAAAGGACTCATTGCCACCGGAGTCGCTGCTTTGACTCTGGCATCAACTGCCAGAGCCGTTTGCGAGAACCCAAGCGTCCGAAAGTCCTGGTACGAGCTCCCTGCTTTAGTCGCTGCAAGCCAATACTCACAACCTCAGGTCCGCTTTGACCCTTGACGAGCGCACTGAGTATATAGACTCGACCCTCTGCCTCATGAATCCGGAGCTCGCCCCCGCCCAGACCGGGACATACGGTTCTAAGAGCCGATGGGACGAACTGCTTGTTGCCCATGTCGCCCAAGTCCAGTTCATCCATGTTGTGGTGCGTCTCGCCTTCTCTTGCCCAGCGTCATGACGCTTAGCAGCTCCTTCACAGATACCATGGACAGTCTAACCCTTCTCCTTCCGATTAGGGTGCCTTCTTCCCCTGGCACCGTTGGTACACCAGAGTGCACGAGAGCCTCCTCCGGGACGAGTGTGGCTACACAGGCCCCTATCCGTGAGTACTTACACTCAACCTACCGCTCGACGCCCGACTATGACCTCGGGCTGCACCGCATTGTGACTCACCCGATCATAGGTACTGGAATGAACAAGAGGACCAAGCCAGGGCACCGTTGGAGAATGCCAGTGTCTGGAGCACGAGCCCAACTGCCGGTTTCGGAACTGGCAACACGGATGCAGATGGCTGCGTTCAGGACGGACCTTTTGCCTATCTGCCGCTCAACCTGACGACCGAGCTTACGCGCACCAGCGACAGCTGCCTGACGCGGGTGTTCAACCAGACGCATTTTGACTCCGTCTCACAGACCATCGTCGACAGCTGCATGGACATCGACGACTACTGGTCCATGTGGGCGTGCCTCGGAAACACGCCGCACACGGGCGGCCATTTTGGAGTCGGGGGCACGGTAAGTCATCATCTCCGGGAGAAGAGAACAGCTCTGTAATGCCCTGGCTAATGTTGGTGGGCTCTGTTTAGATGGAACACGTCTCTTTCTCTGCATTTGATCCGATCTTCTTCCTGCACCACACCAACCTGGACCGTCTGTGGACGCAGTGGCAGTCGAAGAACGCCAGTCGATTGACGGCCATGGGTGGGCCGCTGGTGGCGCCCCAGACCCTGTTCGGAGAGGCGCAGCCCTCGTTCCTGGGAGTGGACGCCTTCGTGCCCTACTTTGGGGACCACGGGAACGTGACCACGTTGAACCATACGCTCTGGCTGGCAGGGCTCGCGGAAAACATCACCGTGGCGGACGCGATGGACGTGAACAACGAGAAGGTTTGCATCACCTATGAGTAGGTGTCCAGGGGGTGGAATGGATTCTCGTCTCATGAGTGAGCTTGCCCATTCTGTCAACTCGAGCCGGGAGAGTCTTGCAACCTCTGCGCACTGCAGTCTCACGTTGCTGGATGGTTGTGTCTGGGAGCTGCCTCTCATCAAAGCCTGGGATCTGTATTTTGACCTCCGTTCTGCCGCTAGTATTGGCTGAGATACTTTTACTTGACAAAATGGACTCACATCTTAAGTTGGAACCATTGGAGGGGCACGCGGGTTAGCTGCTTCCGAATAGTACATTATTCTTATAGATGCGAGGGCTTCCTATGCATTTGAGACCCAGTCTATCCGTAGCAGCGTTTGTCCTTCTCAACCATCCTCCTTTCCATCTGCTCCAATCAGGGACTCTCAATGATAGACACGATCTTCTTTTGTCGGTGTGGGCTTCTGCACTCTTGTGGGAAACGTAGTCTATTGACAAGCAGATTAGATATATACGCGGGCTGACTCCTCTGTATGCCATAGCAATAACTGACGTTCAGCTACTGGCCACTCACCACCAACTCCGACATCCAGATACAATTACTACTCAAGCTAAACCCTAATCGGTCGAACTCGTCTACCTTATCATGATGCATACTCAAAAGTATCGCGTATCGTTCATCATTACCCCTTTTTCTCCACTTCAGTCGCTCAATGCACCAATCCTGATGATGCAACTCGATCCACAATCGGGATTCACCGCACAGAACAGCTCAACCGAGCGAACGGTCTGTTGAGCTTCCAGAGATGATATCATTGTATGCCACCTGCAGTATGCAAAGATAGCGATCGGATGGAGTAGCCGGACAGCCGAGCAGCCGAGGCCAATCATCGCTCGCCTCTCGGGCTACTCGGGCTCTCATTTTTCTTGCCGTCTCGGGACTAGCGTTCGATAAGAGCAACTGCGGGGAAGATAAGCATTGCCAGCTGGATCTGGAAGGTTATCGCAGTCACTGTTGCGCCTTTATTGCACCTCACATGTCATTTCCTTCGGTAAACCCAGTCAGTGCAAGAGAATCAGCATCATGCCTCTGCGAAATAGACCCTATGTTCCCAAGATCAAAGGTACAGTACGCGTCGTCATCAGCTTGAAGTGGCTGAGGCTGATGATCTGACAGGATGCTACGAGTGTTCCCAGCGCCGCATTCACTGCGATAGAAAAGAGCCTGTCTGTGGGAAATGTACTGCCAAGGGCATCAGCTGTAGCGGTCTGGGAACGCGATTCAGGTTCCGTGATGCAAGCCAAAGAAGAAGTCCCAGGAAACACATCTTACCACCGTACGTCTGCGGGAAAGTCAGCGCCCACCGATGGATGCTGACGAGACCGGAGGACGAGTTGTAGCAAAAGCAGAACCGGATCGGACTGTCTCTTCCAGAGCCCGGAGGAGGTCCTCAATATTCTGTTTCCAAACGAGTGCAAAAACAGCCCGTCATCTCCTAAGGATGTCCCTGCACTATTCTTGCCATCGCCCCAGACCTCAGACAGCGATCGATCACCAGAGCCCGCCATGTCCCCCTTTGACTCCATCTCAATCATCACGCCCCCATTAGCCGAGTTTGAAGCATGGAAGTCATACCTCCTCACATATTGTAAGCACAAGAACCTAACATGGGTCATCCCACAACTGACCATCGAAGTCTCCGAGCAAATCGCCCCGCAGATGGTGGTCATCGACGACCAGCACAACGGCTGGCGCGGCACCATCCTCCCCATCGCACACACCGACGAGCTGGTCCTCAACTCCGTCCTGGCCGTCGCCTCCCTCCATCTCCTGGGCACGGTCGGCAGCAGTCCCGGCTGTGCCGACCCCCGGAGGCTCTACACGCAAGTCATCCGGGGGCTGCAGCGCCGCAGCGACCTGGGCAACTGCGACATGGCGACCAAGAAATCCGTCATCCTGACCATCCTCATCCTCCTGTTGGCCGTGATGGTCACGGGCGGCTCGGACTTTCCGATCTTGTTCCGCATGCTGCAATCAGCGATCGATGCGGTTGGGGGTGATGGGGGGCTTGACGAGGGCGAGGTGTCTGCTTTTCTCCTGCGGGAGATACGCAAGTGAGTAGTAGCCCGGGCACACCGTCGTTGGGTGCAAGATACTTATACGGATTGAAATGTAGAATGCGCGTCAATGCAAGCCCTCTCATCAGCCTCGACTCGGGCATCTGTGCGATCCTGTCGCACGGGGCGCAGAGCTTCGACTGCCTCCGCTACTACCGCACCTTGCACCCGCGCCATGCGCTGGCCCTGGACCGCATCGCCGAGGTCCGGCAGCAGGCGTACGACATCTACCTCCAGCGCGCGCTGGCCCGGACGGGGAGCCCGCCGCGGGCGCTCTCGCATCTGGTCGACCAATTCAAGCAGTTGCTGGTGCTGTATCCCGAGGTGGCGCAGATGGACCACGTGCTGGTGTGGTCGGCGTTCATCATCGGCTTGGAGTGTCGGCAGACGGAGGACCAGCGCTTCTTCCGGAGGTTTCTGGAGCGGCAGTTTCGGCGCAATGGGTTTGCCAACATCATCCGAGCGATGGAGCTGCTGCAGCAGGTGTGGGAGGGGTGTGCAGAGCGGAATTGGGCGGCGGAGCTGCCTCAATTGCAGGTTTTTGTTACTTAGGCTTGCAGTCGTACTTGTATAGTAGATAATTAGTGAATCGAGCTCAGTCGGGCCATAAAACTACCTGTCCATCACACCATTCACCGTATAGTCGGCGACAGAGGGTAGGGCTCTCTCCAAACACACCCGAACAGGCAACTGTATCCGAGGCTTGCCGAAGTCGGGGATCGGGAGGGAAAGCCGAGCATCGCCAGCCGAGGGTATCTCATTCTTCTGCCTCGACTAGGAAGGTCAATTGCAAACTGCTTGTATACTCGTACACTCCTCTATTCATATAAAACAGCTTACCCCTGCCTTTTACAACAATCAAAACCATCCCCACAACAAACACCACCACCACCACCAAAATGACCTCCTTCGCCTCCACCCTCCAAGACCCGACCCTCTTCGTCGACAAATCCTACATCAACGGCGCCTGGGTTCCCAGTCAGTCCGGCCAAACCTTCCCCATCAGCAACCCGGCCGACGAGACCATCCTGGGCCACTGCCCCGAATCCACCGTCGAAGACATCCACAGCGCCATCGCGGCCGCCGGCGCCGCCTTCCCCGCCTGGCGCAGCCAATCAGGCCGGCAACGCGGGCGCATCCTGCGCAAGCTGTACGATCTCCTGGTCGCCAACCAACAGGACGTCGGGCGGATCATCACGGCGGAGAATGGCAAAGTGAAAGGCGATGCGGAGGGCGAGGTGCTCTTCGCGGCCAGTTTCTTCGAGTGGTTCGGCGAGGAGGCGGCGCGCATCTACGGCGACGTGATCCCGCACAGCAACCCGGCCAGCCGCGTGCAGGTGCTCAAGGAGCCCGTCGGCGTGTGCGGGCTCATCGTGCCCTGGAACTTCCCCCTGGCCATGGGGGCGCGCAAGGTCGCCGCCGCGCTGGCGGCCGGCTGCACCGTCGTGCTCAAGTCGGATGGGCTCACCCCGTTCGCGTCGAATGCCTTGGCCGTGCTGGCGGAGCGGGCGGGCGTGCCCAAGGGGGTGCTGAATGTCGTCACCGCGCTGCAGAATACCCCTCGGCTGGGGCTGGCGCTGTGCGAGAGCGCGGTGGTCAAGAAGATCTCGTTTACCGGGTCGACGCGCGTCGGAAAGCTGCTCATGCGGCAGAGTAGCGACACGCTCAAGAAGTTGAGTCTCGAGCTGGGCGGCAATGCCCCGTTTATCGTGTTCGATGATGCGGACGTCGAGGTCGCGGTCACGGCTGCTATTGCCAGTAAGTTCAAGGTCACGGGCCAGACGTGCGTCTGCGCGAATCGCATCTACGTGCAGGAGGGGATCTACGACCGGTTCAGTCGGCGGTTGGTGGAGGAGGTGCGGAAGTTCCGCGTAGGGAATGGGTTGGAGGATGCGCAGGCGACGCATGGCCCGCTGACCAACGGCTGGGGCAAGACGGCGGAGCATATCCAGGACGCGGTGGAGAAGAAAGCCACTGTGCTGCTCGGGGGTAATGCGTTGCCGAAGCTGGGGCGGAATTTCCATGAGTTGACCATCCTGGGCGATGTGGATGACTCCATGCGCGTCACGGCGGAGGAGACCTTTGGCCCGCTGGCGGCGCTGATCAGGTTCAAGACTGAAGAGGAGGTGCTCCAAAGGGCCAACAAGGCGGAGGTCGGGCTGGCGGCGTATGTCATGACCACAGACTTAGCCAGATCCCACCGGGTATCGGAGGGGTTGCAGACAGGCATGGTGGCGCTCAATACTGGGGTGATCTCCGATGCACCGGCGCCGTACGTTCTCCGCTTATTTGTGACTGTGTTGATGCTAATGTTTCTGCAGGTTCGGAGGTGTGAAGCACTCAGGCATGGGCCGCGAGGGAAGCAAGTACGGCTTGGACGACTATCTCACCATCAAGATGATTGTCACGGGGGGTATTATCACTTCTCACCTGTAGAGCCTCTGGCTTCTGGGTTGAGGTTTAACGAATGTAACGATTCTACTATCTATATAGACTTGACTCGAATTAAATCAGTAGTTGAAGCTAATAGGATCCTCTATTCGAGTATCAAGCAGTCTCATTGATAGTCCGAGGCTCTTATTTACAGCCAACATTCAACCCATTCTGTCACCACTAACCCAAATACCCTGTCATCAAGTCCACACTACTGAGATACCCTCTCCCAAATCCCTTTTACATCCTCATGCGGGCTGATGTTATCCGCAATCCCCAACGAGGTGGTCGGCTTCGTATAGCCCAGTAACTGCAACATTTTGGGGCTCATCTCCAGCACTTTGCTGCGCGGGATCGCCAGAAACTGATTCTCCTCGGTGCGGTACGTGCCCCGGACGAAGAAGAAGCTGTGCATGGTTCGCACCGAGTCAGGCACGGAATTGTGTCCGCCGCCGTGGTAGGCGGATCCGAGGAAGATCAGGGCGGAGCCGGGGGACATTTCTACCTCCATCACCATGCGGATTCAGTCAGCTCGTGTTGAGTCTACAGTTCGCTCTCGTTCAAAGAGTTAAAACGAACTGATCGGGAAAAAGGAAAACGTACCAGCAAAACACACCTCGTCGGGCATGGCCGGCCGGCCATCTCCCCACTTATGACTGCCCGGTACGAACATGGTCGCCCCCTTCTCCCGCGTCACCTCGCAGCCGGCCACGAGACACCCGAACTGGCTGGCTTTCTGGAGCGACCACTCCCCTGGAGGGGCTTGGTGCTTCACCCCGTGCACGTTGTCGTCGCGGTGGAGCAGCTGGCGCGGCGCCCCGTAGCCGATGTTCATCGAGGCGCTCATGCTCAGCAGGGGGTCGATGCGGTTGGGCTCGAGGAACCCCTCGCGGGTGACGGTGAACTCGTCGACGAGGATGCGCTCGCGCAGGGCGTCGAGGACGGGGTGCTCGCAGATGCGCGCCGCGGTGACGGATTTGCCCACCAGGCCTGGGATGAGGGTCGTCTGTGGGGGGATCGTGTAGAAGGCGTCGCCCTGCGCAGTGGGATCCAGGTGGCGTCGCGGGGTGCTCCATGGTGCGGTCTCAGCGGCGATGGCTTGCAGTTCAGAGGTGGTGACGAGGTCGCGCAGGATGAGGCCGCCGTCGCGCTCGAGGACGGCGAGGATGGATTCGATGGGGCTGGTGGCGGGGAGGGTAGTGATGCTGGTGGCAGGGGTGTAAGAGGGTTCGATGGGCGGTGGGACTGGGAGGGGGAGACGAGTCATTGTGAGTTTGTAGTATGGTTGTACGTTATGGACGTGCTTAGGTTCTGGATCCAGATAGGGTTATGGGGTGGATGCTGTTGATGCGGGCCAGTGGGTAGGCTCGTGGAGTCGCCTTTAAGTGCGCGGGCGATGTCAGATGGCACATGCGTGCGATTGTCTCTTATCAGACTCATGGGAAGACTTGCCCAACGCATATACATCTGGAAGGAAAGTGGCTTTCCTTATTGTCTGGGGAATCTTATCAGGGCGGGGGGCTCTCATCCGAATTGCCTCTTTCAGCCTAGTCATTGACTTTCACTCTGCCTATCAGCGTCATATCGCCCTCATTGTTGTGATACTTCGGAACTTTTTAGGGCTACCTGTAACTGTTCTTCATGCATATACTCATCTGATTCTCGGTGGTAATGCCAGAAATGCCAATACTTCCGGCTGAACGGGTCAAATTAACAAGGCATGCTACTGCATCACCTAACGAGGGACACAAATACCATTTACTTATACTTGACCGGTGTTGTAGCGAACTCAAGCCATGTGTACAAGCCGTGTCACTAGGAGTACGTCACAGCTTCTGCCATCATTGATCAGAGGTCTACTTCAGCCTCTAATCTTATATCTACGGAGGCAAGATCGAAATACCACCAACCCGTCCTTCAGCCCTAACCCATCGCTGTCTATCATCCAGGGCGCTCACAAAGTCATCGCTCCCCCATCCACCACTAAATCCACTCCCGTGATATACCTCCCGCCCCGCGGACTACACAGCAGCACAAACGCCCCGGTCACCTCCTCCACATCCCCCATTCGCCCCATCGGACACCGCTGCGCCCAAATTTCGCGCAACGGCTGCAGTCCATCCCCGGCATTCAGCACCGTATCCATATACCCAGGACTGACACTATTGACCCGGATCCCGTGGACCGCCCACTCCGCCGCCAGATTGCGCGTCATATGCACGACCCCGGCCTTGCTGACGTTGTAGGCCACCTGCGGCTGCGGGAAGTTGGTCGCGTGGGCGGAGATGGAGGCCGTGAAGACGATGCTGCCCCCGGTGCCTTGGGCGATCATGTGGGCCGCGACAGCCTGGGCGCAGAGGAAGGAGCCCGTGAGGTTGACGTCGAGGACTTTGGCGAACTCGCTGGGTGCGGCGGCGGTCGACGGCGTGCAGGAGACGATGCCCGCGAAGCTGAGGAGGTGGTCTACCCCGCCCATGCTGGTTACGGCCGTGGTGATGGTGGTGGTTATGCTTTCGGGCGATGTCACGTCCACTGGGTAGGTTCGGATCTGTGCGTCTGGGAAGGAGGTGGTGAGTTCGGTCAGCGCTGCGGTCGAGGTGGTGATCGTCGCGGGCAAGTCGAGGAGGGAGAGTGCGGTCACGCCGTGTTCGAGTAGGGCTCGCGCAACGGTTAGGCCCAGGGAGCCGGCACCGCCGGTAATGATGGCTTTTCCGGGGACGGCGAAGCGCGATGCGGCGCGGAGGGCTGGGGTGGAGGCGCTCGGGTCGGGGGGAAGAGGGGCGGTTAGAGGGTTGGTGGCGGTGGAGAAGGTCATCGTAGGGATTTGCCGCAAGGCTAGTGCCTCACGGTCGCTGAGGGGCTTGGTGCTGGGTGGGTCGGACATTATTGTGGATGGATGTGGTTTATGTTGTGGTGTGGTGTGGTGTGTTACTTGTTTGGTGAGGTGAGGTGAGGTTCAAAGCGGGGAAGCTTTGTTGATGCTGAGTGCGGGGAAGCCCATAAGATGACATCCCGCAAGCATCATCTATAGTAGAGTCTATTACCATCTAGAGCAATTTTTTAGACACTGAATTTATTTGCAATTTACCGCGGTGTAGTATTAAGTCCTTGTGACGAACGTCATCATCATCGTCATCATCATCATCTAAAACTAAGACTGAACCTTCTGCTGCATATCTCTTCCTTCGATCAGACACCGATGTCCCTTGGGTGCCATCAGAAAAAAAGTCTCCATCACCATGTCTGCTTCGCTCATGCCATAGCGACTCGACACGCGCGCCTGCGGAAATCGACGGAAGAACATCGCTGTGGCCAGACGTAGCTCGATTCGCGCCAGGTGTATTCCCAGACAGACTAACTCATCTATTAGCACTGATCTTTCGCCCAGTAACAGGTACAATCTCAAACCTACCACGCGACCCTCCACCAAACGGCAGCGAAGCATCCTTCATCGCTTGCGTGGGTGACACCCACCGGTCCGGCTCAAACCTCTCCGCGTCCGGGAAGATCTTCTCGTCGCGATGCAGAGAATACGACTGCGTTCCCACCGTGACCCCAGCAGGAAGACTATATCCCGCCAGATGCGCCCCGCCAGCAGGCACGGCACGACGCAGCGCCGACGGAACCGCACTATAGAGTCGGAGCGACTCCAGAATGACCCGGTTCAAGTACGGCAGGCCCCGCAGATCCCGGTCCGTGAAGTCGGCCGGCAGCTGCGCCACCTCAGCGACCAGGGTGTCTCGAATCTGGGGATTCTGGCACACGGCATGGATCAGGTAGGTCAGCGTTACAGCGGTGGTGTCACTGCCGGCCACGATGAAGGTGCGCGCCTCGGCGATGATCTCCTTCTCCGAGAGGCCGTTCTCGCCGGCGTCATACAGCTTGGTGAACAGGGTGGGCTTGGGGTCCTTTGGGTTCTGTTTCAGCATGCCATAATAGCGGCCGATGGACGCCACGGCATATGACTCCAGACGGTTCACGGCCTTCACCGTCTCGCGGAAGTAGGGCAACGGCAGAGTCGCGGCGAGCTTGAACATGGTCGGGAACGTGGTGCGGATGATTCCCGTCAACGCGATCCGTTCCAGGTCATTGCTGTATTGGCTTTTCTGCGGTGGGTGGGTGAGCCAGATCCTCTGGTTGCTGGGGGTGGAGTAACACGCACCTGGCCTGAGTCCAGCATGCGGAAGGACTCGCCAAAGGACATCTCCCCGATAATGTCCGTGGCCATGAACAGCATCCATTTGTACACATCCCCGGCCCCGGTGGCTGCCATATCTCGGCCTAGTCCATCGATGGCTTGGCTGACTCGGGCCCGGATGAGTGGCTCGAACTGGGTCATCAGGGCCGAGTCGGAGATGGGCGAGGACAGCAGCCGTCGGTGGGCGGCATGGAACTTGGGGTCGACGGTGGAAAAGGTGCTTTGTCTCTCACGCGGGGTGAGGTCGACGTACCATTGGGACTTGAGAAAGGCACTGCCGGTTTTGTGGATTTGCTTGACGGCGCTGGTATCGCAGATGTCGACTTCAGTGGGGGTGACACGGACGACGGGGCCTGGCAAGTGGGTGGGTTAGCGGGTTAGAGGTCGATCTTCGTCTGGCAGGGTCCAACAGGCTGCACAGTACCATATTTGCGGTGCAGGCCATGGACATACTGGGCTACCTCGCCTCGCACGCAGTAATAGGAGAAGACCGCACTGGTCCATCGCGAATAAGGCGGGCCCGGGATATGGGCGAGAGGGCTGGTCAGTCCTCGATAGAAGAAGTGCTGTAGATACTGATATTAGTCTTGCGGTTGGGCGTCTTCGGAGCATGGACACGCACGACAAGCAAGCAGCCAAGTACAACACCGATGATGAACAACATTGTGCCAATCGAGTCGGCAAATCGAGCAGTAGATTCTTTCTGAGGGGGGAGGATTGCAATGGTCTGTTGGTTGTAGCAGAGACCGAATGACATGTTCTTTATATAGGCAAAAGCGGGGTTTGCAGATGCCTTAAAGCCGAATACCCCGAGGTGTTGATCAAGGATCATCATGGATCGTGCATGCCAGCACCGGATATGGTGCCGGGACTCTGCCATGTCGTTGAAACGGTGCAAGATTTCTGTGGTGCTTATGCGGCCGGTCACGGTGGACGCAGAGCTTACATGCAGGCCTGCGATAAGACTAGTAGGATTGCGGCTTATACGTGCGAGTTGATCCTTGGGGAGCTTGCCAAAGCTTGTCGGAGTAAGCGTGCTAAGGCATCTATGAACACATCATCACCGACAGTACATCATATTGCATGACCAGAGTTGACGACTGGACAGCATTGTGTATTGTGTATGCATGCATAAAGCCAGCCACTAACAGCCACTACAGCCACTACAGCCACTTCAGCCACTTACAGCGTCGGCCAGGACGGATCGATCGGCTTGAGCTCCCCCGCTCCGTGGAAATCCCGCAGGATGACAGCCTGCTCACTCAATAGCACTCGGTCCGCCTGCGACGATCCAATTCTTGCCAACTCGCGCCAGCGGGCAAAATCCCCCAAGTTGCGCTTGTCACCACGCGCAGCCTCGTTGTGGGTCCAGTGGCCCTTGGAGAAGCCCAGCAGGGTACTCAGGCGCTGGTGGGGGATATCAAACACCAAAGAGCAAATCGTCCCCGTTTCCGCTAGCCAGTTGACCTGCCATAGCTCGCCGGGGCGAATGCACTGGTATGTCGCTGCCTGGAAGTTCTTGCGGCCAGCCATCGGCCCGCCATGGATGGCGTACACCACCCGGTCTTCGTTGAAGAACCAGATCTCATAGCGCCATTTCTCCGGGTTACCGTTGCCATCGTGTGCTGCATAGTCGTAGATAATGTGGCGGTCGCGGAGATCGGCGTCGAATGTTGAGCCCTCAAGCTGAGGGAGCACGGGCATGTTGAATGATAGACCAAAGGTGGAATTCAATGGGAATGAGGCAATGGGGGGAGACCAAGCTGGGGATGATCGGATTCTTCCCTCAAGTAGTGAGCCTTCTACAAGGCGTTGCATCTTCTTTATAACAGAGTCGGACTGCTGGTGACACCACTCTTATAGTAGTCCCGACTCACTGGTAGGGAGTGACAGGCTCTCGGTGTTCCTCGGCCTTGTTACTCAACCCAGGGAACTGGCTCACGCCAACCGCCATCTTCCCGGTTGCTCCATTCAGGGTATTGGAGCTTATTTTGATCGAAGGGCGAATCTCGTAAGCTCGTGTCGGGGGGGGGGGCACGGTTAACCGCGATGCAGGGAATCCAGGTCGATCTACCCAGCAAACACGGCTGTCGAGTAGATGAAATTCTGGCTAGAGTTTTGGCTGTTGGTTGATGTCTAGATGGATCATTCGCGGATGATGACAATATTAAGATAAATGATTGGATCCATGCCCATTGACTGCTGCCGAGACTCGAGAAGGCACCGTGATACCACTGGCGGATAGATATATATCCTACCTCAAGTACAGCCCCGAACTAGGGTACCCTAGACACAGTCGGCATGAGTAGTATGACACCTCAAATTAACCCACTGACCTCTTCAAGACCCACTAGTATGGTTATATGTAAGAACAGCTCCCTAACAGTGTTGTTTGGGTGCATTGAGCTGATGCTAGACAGGACCTAGATGCCATAGGACCTTTACGTGTTACGTGCGTCATAAAACCAAAGCAGCGGCCTTTGTATCACCAAGGCAAGATGGCCGAGCGGTCTAAGGCGCTAGGGTCAGGCAACCTGATCACACATGTTCGCTCCACCGAGCAACATTCCTAGTCACGCAAGTGGCGTGGGTTCGAATCCCACTCTTGTCATATCTTTTTGCTCCTTCTCTTTTTTTCCCTCCCCTGTGTGTGAGTGAACTTCCACCTTCGGCCGACCGGCGGAAATCCAGGGAAATTAAATGCCCCACTATCATATCCACAGTTGACACATGCTTCAACTGCATTGTTCCTCCTCATTCCTCATTGCTAGTACCAATGCACGGTCCTTGCGTGCTTACAATGAGTGTGAAGGCACCAATGCTCTCAGCCATAGGTTGTGTTATTGTTGGCTTAGACAGGAGGTTGCCCATCTCAGATGTGCAGAAAGTCAAACAACTATCATCTTGGACACTTTAACCTTTAATCTGTGAGTCAAAGCCTATAATCAGTTTGCCTACAGTTTCCTCCTGTAGAAGGATCTTACAAGTCAGGACTCTGCTATGACCGACCTCCAGTCTCTTTATCCCTCCTATAGTTCAAATTTGCCTGCTTGGTCCACAGCAGATAATAAAAGTGAGTTAAATAGAAGGGTTAGCAGCAATGTGCTCTGGTTGTCCTAGAACCATTTGCACTAAGGGCGATAGACAAGTTCACATCCTGAGCACAAACTGTCATCATCATTGACAGGTTGGAGGACTCCATGACAATCGAGAGCAAATCACTGCGAGGCTACAGTTCCGGGGCAAAACAAGACACAGACTCTGAAGTTATCGTCACCAAGAAAATAAAACTATTGCGCTACTGTGAGATCGGCAAGGTCAACCGGCATTGTCATTTCATTCCACCAATTACCTCTACTACCGCCTAATACCACATAAGCTTCCCTGTAGTTATCGCTTGCCTATGCTCCCCTCGCAAGACCAGAACCCAACCCGATGTGCGACATCTTTCCATATGAATTGTATGAACCCCTGAGGACGCGTGATTGAGCAGCTCTGGCAGCGTAACTGGCTTTGGCCAGAAGGACACTCGAGTATAGAAGCGGAACGAAAGTCAGGCAAGGATTTGAGTCCAATGCCTTCACAATATGGACAGACCCAGTACCTGGTGTTGCTACTACTTAGATTTGTCCTCTGGCTGAGTTGGCTTACTGGGGTCAGTGGGCTGACGATAATAATCGGAGGCCTTGAGAGGTGTTTTGTCCGTCGCTCGCCGTTCATACAGCTTTGCTATCAGCTGCAGAAGAAATTCCTGGGAGGTCTCTTTCAAAAAAACCGTCACCGCTAGAGGGGGACTTCTGCAACCCGCGAGCATATCCACAAATAGCTGGCGGATCGGCGCCGAGGAAGTTGTGTGGGAGTATAACCAGTTGATGGTGTCATTGCTAGGCTGGGTGTATTTGCAAACCAGGTCTTTCGAGTATCGTCTTTCGACAATGGCATCAATCACGGCGTCCTGGAACTTCGTGTCAAGTAACTTGTCTCCTAGGACATAGGCTTTGATCAATGGTCTGTAGCCACTACCATCATCGTAGCCAACCACAGCAAACGTTGAGAAGTAGAGCCAATGCATGTATATCTCGAATGTCGCAGGTTCACCCTCCGGAAACTGAATGGTGCGGTTGCAATGCTCTACCCAGCTGGCCGTCAAAGCCTTGTCGATAACTGGCGAAGATGCATGAGCCAGCTCCTCGTACACGGTATAAGATTTTTATTTTGGCCCAACCAGTATGGTTATGACGTCCCCTGTGACTCTTGCCTGGGATTAGTACGTAGTAAAGACAAAGGAGGGCATTCGTACTTGCTGCGCTCATCCATTGAGACCCGGATTCGCTTGGCAGGTCTCTCGCTGTCCTTGCCTCTCGCCATGTCTGACTATGGAAGTTGCACCAAAGTAGATAACTGTGTACTTGTTTGTCGTGAGGATCGATCGCGTATGAGAAAATCTTGAAACCAGGTATAAAGAGATGATGATGATGATGAAGGTAGCCGACGGAGAGAGGTGTTGAGAGATACATAATAACCAAAGAAATAGTACAAGTAAGGACTCAAAGATTGAAGGTGTCACTATCAACCAACAACGGACTCGACTATACCTCACTCATTCACACCTGGTGAGGGCCAAGTGAATGATGCCTGGCGGGGTTTGCACTGTTTGAAAAGAGGTCTGCCTTACCGCCAAGGCATGAAGGGACTGCACATGGCAGCGAATCATTCGAAGCGATCACCTCATAATGGGCGGGCGTGGCGCGGGAAGCGGCGGCAAGCCACCAGTCATCATCACTGCTGGGGAAATGCAACCTTGGCCCTGGGCTTGGCTGGCCTGCGCTGGTCGCCCCTGACCGTCAATTCATGTTGCTCGTTTATCATGCTTTTATCATGAGTCGTCCTCTGCCTGTGACCGTCAAGTTTCTCTCACTCCGAGGCTGCTGGTGCACACCATGAGATTCGCCCCCATTTTGCTGCTCATCTTCCTCCGGGTCTGGCCCGTGGCTGCCACCATTCTGCAGAATGGCCAGCCACGCGAGGACCCTTACCCCGGCCAACAGTCCCCCATCAAACTCGATGATTCCTGGCGCAACTACGACGCGGGCGTCCCTGAGATTGCCTACAAAGGCCGTTGGGATAGCCAGCACATTTCCTGTGAGTGCACCTCCAGTGGGAAAAACACGTCAATCTGTCGAGTTTGTGGCTAATCGAAGACCAGGGTGGTCGTGGGTTCTTCTGTTCTTTCTGTGAAAAATAAAAAATGGCATGCGCCTGACACCACTGACCGTGTGCGCATAGAGCCCCTGGGATCAAGGTTGAGTTTTCCGGCAACAAGGTAAGGGTTTCGCCCCGCGACCGACCGTGGAAAGGAAACCAAAAAAAGGCTGACGCATTGCGACTCCACATTCCAGTTAGCTCTAAGTTTCGGCCCCAGTACCTCCAACGGTGCCCTCGTCGCTTATCGGTATCCTCCCTCCCCCTTGTTCCCCCTCTTCCTCTATACCCTCGATCACGATCATTCCTCGATACCAACTCCGATACCACAGAATTGGGTCTCTGGACTGGCGATTCTCCAACGTGACCGCCGATGCGACCTACCAATTCATCGGGCCCGATGACTTCACCGACGGCATTGATACCAAGAGCAATGTGTTTGAGATGCGAGGTGGGCAAAACCAGATAAGCTTGTGCTTGTACAGAACGTGAAGGCTGACAACGTGCCAGTGACGAATTGGGGCATAGGATAAGTTTGCCCTGTCTCTGCGTGTCTGCGCGTCTGCGGTTCCGCGGCTTATCCCCTGCACAGTCCAGTTGGCCGGCGTGTCCGTTGCGAAGGACGCCTACATCACGAAACCCACGCCCTACAAGAGAAAGGTGGAGATTATTGGAGGCTCGTGAGTGTACATGGTGGCTGCATGCGTGTTCGCGTATTAACCGAACAGGCTGGCCGGGGGTCAATATGCCACCTATGAGACCTTGTCATCCTGGTCCTTCCTCTACGGCGTGGGACTCGGAGATGCTGAGTTCACCATCACGGTCAGTTAAACCCTCTTTCAGAGGTGCCCCTAAAGTACACGCTCTGACTCATTCTACTCTAGGCCTACCCCGGCGTCTGTCTAGCGGACATGCAGTGCTACGGCGGTGGCGTCCACGGAATGGTATTTCCCCCACCTTCGAACCTGACGCTGCACCAAAACTAACCATTGCAGACCTGGTGGTGGAACCGCGCCTCCGATCCCGGAGCCCGCGCCCACCAATTCTACGGCGACAATCCTCCCGCCTTCGACAACTCGGCCGAGCAACCCGCCGACCTGGTGTTCATCCAGATGGGCGGAAACGACTGGCGCCACCCGAACGAGGTGCCCGGCGAGAAGTTCTACCAGGCTTACGTTGACATGGTGGAGGAGATTCATCGCGTCTGGCCCAAAGCCGAAATCGTTCTGATGGTAAGCCAACCACCCGCCTACCGACTCATGTCTGTCGACTCCTGCTAACGGTCGGCCAGTCGCAATGGGGCCCCTTCCAGAAAGTCGGCACGGAGTACAAGTCGACCATCCAGTACAAGGACGAGATCATCCGCGTGTACGAGTACTTCAAGGACCTGCGCTGGACGTTCGTGCATTACCTCAACACGGACGGCATCCTGCAGCACAACGACATCAACCCTAAGAACCACCCGACGGACGTCGGCCACATCAAGGTCGCCAGCCATCTGCTGCAGTGGACGCGGCTGGTCCTGCGCTGGGAGCTCAAGCCGACCGGCGAGGTGCAGCACGGAACGTTGTACTGGAACGACCAGGAGGGGTATTGATTTCTGTCGGAGAAGAGTGTACAGTTTCGGTCGACTTGGCCTTGTATAGTGTAATTATTCGGGCTGAGAGGCCTTGCATATTTCGATTATCGCATGGGGTGCTGTGCATATATGGAGCGTGTCTGAGCACCAGTTGGATTGTTCTATGTGACATAGTTGATTATCGCTGCATGCTAGATGGGAGGCTATAGAGTAGCTTGCCAAATTACTTTGCCTCTGCGCTTTTCTTCTTCTTCTTCTTCTTCTTCTTCTTCCTCTGTTCTTCTATATCGACCAGTATCGATCCAAGGCCTTGTCGTACGCAGCAGGAGAAGTAGCACCCACCACTCGGGTTCATTTCCCAAATACCACACGCGAAAGTTGGGAAGTACGTATGTCAATACCTGCCTCTACTTCATTAGGCAAGGGTAAGCAATGCCACCCTTTACTTGCGCACATCCGATGATGGAGCGGGCGATTGACCTGGGTGTACTCTAGTACCTCCATATTTGTTGGGGTCCCTCTGAGCGAAGAGAGCGCCCGGGATATTATGCTCTACAATGATTCAGGTCGTATTTGTCGCCCGTACTTTACCTATTACTCTGGCTCAGACTATCGCGAAGCGTCTTCAGGTGATGATACATCTGCGGATCCCCCTGTTTCATGACCGTGTAGAATTGTCTATAGCCATCCTTCAAGCATTCCTCGTGGAAGGCTTCCGTTCCATCGACGTACTCCCGAACGTATGTTACGATTGCCAGCCAATAGGGCTCTCGAGGAGTCTCATCGTCGCGACACAGTAGATTAATGACCGCCTCGCAATACCGGATGGCGGTGGGGATCCGAACCACGGAAAGGCAGGGAGGGAAGCGCCCCTGACCGCGCGCGAGACTTGCGAGTGGAAGATGGCCGTCCGGTGCCGAAATGATATCAGCACCGTCGGTTGCAATACCAAACTCAGGGAAGTCCCACAGCATCTCAAACTTCCTGTACAATGAGATCACAAGCTCGTCGTTGATGTGTAGGTGTGCCAGGGTTGACAATGATTGGGGTGCGCCGAGACATGGGCATTCTAGACTTTGTGTGCATGGAAGAAAGGCCTGTGAAGTGACCCCGGGCCGGAGTATTGATCTTCCTGAAAGCTGACTAGTCACGGCCCGATGCCCCAAGCTAACCCGATTAGGACACTACTCTCTCAGTGGTCGAATCTGGAGGATCTACCAACATCATCACCTTGATGGAGATACTGATCTTAAATCCCCAAGATCTAATGTCGTGTCGGACATCGTCGGACATAAGAAGACCAGTGCTGTACTTTTAAACAGATCTACATCCGTAAAGTCCGCTCAACCAAACCAAACAGAATGCGGCGGCAACCATGGGTACTGGGTATAAAGAGCATGTCAACTCTCAGGCAAAGCCCTCATTCAAATCAAATCACCGCTATCCGATTACACGTCATTGACAATTGAAACCTTTCGAGTGACACCAGAAAAAGAAGTGACAATGTCCACCAGCGAAATTGTCTCGACCCAACGTCGCAACCTCCCCCTCCTCGCCACCCCGGAGGCCGTCTCAGGGAGAACCTACATCGTGACCGGGGCGAACACCGGCCTTGGCTTCGAAGCAGCGAAGCATCTCGTCGCGCTTGGAGCCGGCAAGGTCATCCTTGCAGTCCGGAGTATCGAGGCTGGCGAGAGGGCGAAAGACGCTATCAACAAAAGTAGCGGTCGTCCAGGCGTGGTGGAGGTGTGGCTCCTGGACCTCAGCAGTTTCGACTCGGTGAAGGCGTTTGCGCAGCGGGCAATTGCAGAGCTGGAGCGCATCGACGCGGTGATTGAGAATGCGGCGGTGGCGATGATGGGCCCCGTCCGTGCCGAGGGCCATCTCTTGTCTGTGACGGTGAATGTGCTGAGTACGTTCTTGTTGGCTGTGTTGTTGGCGAGGAAGATGCGGGAGAGTGCGGAGAGGAGTGGCGGTGGACTGGTCAGGGTCGTGATTGTGACGAGTCGGATCGGGTTCACAGCTCAGGAGGAGTGGCAGCGGATCTGGGAGGATCCGCTGGTGGGGATTGAACAAGATGAGGGGTTGCAGGTCAAGAGGTGAGTGTCTTCTTCTGCTCAGTCACTGTTGTTATTTGATGAAGCGTGCGAGCAAGCTAATGGATGCCGTAGTTACCATCTGTCAAAGTTGATGGAGATCCTGGCGCTGAAGCACCTCGCGACTTTACTGCCCGTCGAGCGCACGGGGGTGGTCTTCAACCTTGTTTGTCCGGGTCTTTGCACGACTGAGCTGATTCGCAATGCTCCGCCGGGCTATAAGGCGCAGGTTGCCGATATGCATCAGCTTTACGGGCGCACGGCGGAAGATGGGAGTCGGACGCTGTTGCATGGTGCGGTGGCGGGGAGGGAGTCTCATGGGTGTCTTCTCCATTCGTGCGAGATAGGCGAGTAAGTTTGCCATGTTGACATTTATTCGAAGTATTGCGCTGATGATCGAATACAGGAGTGATGTTCCCAACTGGGTGACCGATGAAGAAGGGAAAGCCATGCAGAAACGAATGTGGGATGCTGTTGCGGAGGTGTTGGAGTCCGTTGAGCCAGGATGTGTGGAAGCTATGTTAAAGCAGTAGTTGAATGGTCGGCCATCATTGCGAAGAAGACTCGCTTGTGTCGGACTTCAATTGCTCAAGAAAATTTTCAAGTATCAGGTTGCACTATCTTGTTCATCGCTCTGTCATCAATATGATCATCTCTTCTTAGCTCAATAGCCACTATTGTAAGACGGAGCCACTCTGTGCCACAACCCTCGGGCGGACTCATTGTGGAGGGCATTGACCCATGGATAACGGTGAAGTAAGCCTAGAGTATCTTCCCAGGTAGCAAGCCTCAGACTCTGTATCAGCGTTGCAGCCTTCGCCGTGAGCCACTCCGGGATATCCCTTTGGAAGATAGATGCTGTGCCGACAAGTAGAGCCCACAGGAGTGCTTCCTGTGTTCCACGATCGGTCTCCACTTTCTCGGCCACAGACCCAAGCAGTCTCGCAAGTAGATTGTTGTCGGCAATGCCACGATCCAGTCGTCGAATAAAAGTGCAGAGAAAGATTATCAAGCCCAGGTGAAGGACATCGTCCAGATGACTAACTGGCCGCGGTCCTTGCAATGGACTGAACTTCAAAAGCCGATAGCCGAAGGATAGAACGAGATCGAAATGAGCATAATATGTAAGCTTCGGTTGTTGACCGGCCCCAATGGCGTTGTAAACGAGCGCAAGATCCCTCCCATGCCGTAGTAGAGTGGCTAGACACGTATTCAGATCGCAAGGGCCGGCCTCAGGTGTCGCTGCAATGCGTCTCAACTCAAAGTCACCTGTTGAAAAAATCACAGCATCAACCTCTTCAATAGAGAACAAAGGTGCACAGCCCAGCTGAAACGAACACTCCATATCACACCTGAACGCTGGTCAGCGAGACGTATTGCAGCTAAGCTTGGCCAATCCATACAGAAATACCTTCCTGGCCAGCTCACATCCCAGTTTGAGAACCCCGCCACGCAAGTCGGCCATCTGCCGCAGCCCTCGGGTGTGAATGAGAGCTCGTCCGAACTGCCCCTGGTGCCGCTCGTAGTGCACCATACCCACCACGGCCGCCACGGTATCATCCGAGGTGGAGTTTGCGCCGGCCAGCCGGCCACTGATCAGGTGTATCGTGCGCAATAAATGGCGCGATGCCTCGACGACTCGGTGCTGCTCGGATATGAGTCCTGGTACAATCCACAGGCATGTGGCGATGACTGAATGGAAGTCTTGCTCGCCGTCAGCGTTCTCGATGTGTAAGATAAAATCATTAGGCCACTCACACGCGGCATCGAGGAACATGTATTGAACCCAAATTAAAGGAGCGCTGGGTTCCTCAACGATGGAAAATAACCCAGGAGCACCGCGTAGGTCACGAATAAAGTCAAATGCTAGCGACTGTTAACATGCTATCGGCACAGTTGTTCCGCAGATCGCACATATGTACAGTACCCTTGTGTGCGATGTCCCGAGTTTGTGGCTCCATCTCGACAGGGAAGATTAAACCGCTCGTGATGGGTCTTTTGATGTCGCAAATAATCTCTTGATCGTCATTGGTTTCGTGACTCTGAAGGAGGGCAGGGATGCGGAGGTAAGTTGGAGGTTCACCATGAGCCTTGCTCAGTCGGGATGGTCGTTTGAGGCGTCTCCCCGCGTTCTTGCATCGAGCCACATGGCTTCGGATGCGCTTTCGGGTGGTGGCTGAGATGGCAGTGTTGCCGTCCACGAACTCCCAGTGCATGCTGCAGCAGTTGAGTTAGTGCTTGGTGTGTTTGTGCTCCGGGATGATGATGACGATAGGCCAAAGTGAACACGATGAGGACATCATAGAGTACTGCAAGTGAAGGGCGAGAAGTAAGATCGGCGATAGCGGAGATAACGGACTTTGGAGATTCTGACATGTGGTTGGCCTGCCATATGGAACGATCTTGGCAGGTCTCTGGAAAGATGGAATGAATATCTCATGATCGAATTTACTGTGCTCTTCAGGTTGCGGGGTAGGGTTATAAAAGGCAATCCGAATCTTCATACATGGGGAACTTGGCCTGAACATCGGCCTTATCGCTGTTGGACATTCCAGACCAACTTTCCCAGGGCTACCCTCCATCTATTACACTTTCAAGATATATGTATAGTTTGATTCGGTACTAGATAGACCTCATCATTCGTTAACCATTTGTTCTTGATTTGCATTACTACGAACAAACCCCCGATGTAGCTCTGTTCCATGTTCCATCTTGATATACTTATTTTATGCATTGTCTTTTGGACGGAAGTCCAATAAAACCCATACCAGGAAGAAGATTTCTCAATCATAAGATACAGGTATTAGCCATTATATACTTCAATCCGTGTCCGAATGTGACACGGGAATATTATCCTAGAATCCAGGGAAGCCTGAGTGGATCCAAGTAGCGGGAAGAGTACGCAAGAGTCCCTGGCTTACAAATTGATTACATGTGCATTAGTGAGTTGACTAGCTGTCAGTTGTCATCGATCGGAATTTTCAAAAATCACTCCATTCTCTATTACTAGACTATATTATAGTTCGAACACCCAAGACCACAACCGAAGCCACTAGAACCAAATCCAAGGCTTGTCTTGACAGGAGCAGCGGTCGGGCACCCACTAAGGCAGTAGCTACTGTCTCCAGGTTGACTCTACAGGCCAGCAGCTTGAAATTTCCCGAGTGGCGCGTAAGCGGGTTAGATCAGAGTCTCCTCGACGGCAGCCAGGGTACCGTTGACAATGGCACCAGCGTGGTGGCGAGCAACCAGACCGTAGGCGAACTGGTACCTGCAGGGGTAGTTAGCACCACAGAACGAAATCCGACAAGGTCATCATCCAAAACTTACTGGTCGAGCCAGGGAAGGAGCTCGGGCAAGCCGGGGGTGTTGCGCCAGTCGCGCATGAGGTCGCAGACAATACCGAAGATGCCCATCAGGGTGACACCGGCCTTCTCCATGCGGCGGTTGGCATCAATGGCGAGCTTGGCATCAAAGGTACCGCTGGCCTCGGTGTTGGCATACACCTCGTAGCCCTCATCGATCAGAGAGAGAGCCAAGAAAGCGGTGCCTGGGATCATGAGCCTCCTGATGCATCATAGCGAATTGGCAGAGGACGACTTACAAACTTCGGTGACAATACCACCGATGATCAGCTGCTTCTTGCCAGTGGCCTTGACGGCAGCACGGAACTCAGCATTGTCCCAGGCGTTGACCTCACCCTGACGGCGGACGAAAGTGGCGTTGGGGTGCATGTCGGTGATCTCCTTGAGGAGAAGACCGTTGGGGCCAGTGTCGGAGGAGGAGGTCAGGACGGTGGGCAGGTCGAAGGCCTTGCCGATGGCGGCGTGGGCAATGATGTTGTTGCGGAAGTCGTTGGTGCTGTAGTCGCGCACCAGCTGGGTGAGACCAACCTGGTGGTCAATCACAAGAAGGGCCTGGAGAGGAGCCTGTTAGCAACTCATATCCCATTGCAGAAGGGTGTTCTCGTCATGACCTACCGCATTGTCCTTGTCGATACGGTTCCACGCCTGAACAGAGGAGACTCCAAGAGCCAGGGCTGCGAGAATGTTGCTGAAACGCATTTTGAAGCTGAGAAGGTGCTGCTGGACTGGCTTGGTCTTTGCTTGCTGTGATTCTCGGAGTGATGAGTCTCTGATGATTCTCTATCTGCTTGGGCGACGAGCACCTCTTTATACCTGCGCACCCGCCATCTGGAAGCCCTTGGTGTCTCCCACATGGAAGAGTATGCTCAGCATTGGGTCATGATTGTCAACCATCTGCTCATCTCGAAGCGATTGGGATCTCGTATTGCAGATGTCTTGGCTGCAGCCGGGAGAGGGACTAGAGGGACTACGAAGAGCCGGGGGTTAGGGCTACTGCAGTGGTGGCTCCCTATACGGATTACGGAGAGCATTATTATGGATTGCTTATGGGATTCTGACTGGTCGGGCTTGGCAGTGCCAACCGAGCGCCCGGAGGAATCGAGTCGACTCGGAGCTTCCCCACTCACTAACACCAGTTATAGCGATCCATCCAATCACTTCCCGCAAAATAGATTGATAGTGGGCCCTTGAAGGAGCTGCCACTGCACATTTGACAAACAAGCCCGTATGAAGGTGCACTAATTCTTCCCCAAATAGCCCTCATTGGGAAAATGGACCCTATATCATGGATCCGTGATCCCTTCTCCAACCACTTTGCCCCGGCGGGATGTCATCTCGCTCGCCCCGTTTCGTTCGATTGCTAGTTAGCAGAACCGCCCAACCCTAAAGGAGTATCCGTCTGTCTTACATTCTCCATCTGAGGTCCCGTATTACGAAATGACGGGTGAATGCGGGGACAATCTGCTATCAATCTAACGGCGATTCTAGCCCCGACTCCGCCAAGAATGAGGCATTATGAAGCAGGGAGAGATCGCACCTGTTCGCTATGCCCAAGCCCAAGCCCAAGCCCAAGCCTCCACTGCAAACAATGGCTGCGCCAATCACCCCGAACTGGTGAAGAACGTTCTCGTGTTGGAAATGCCGGGTCTTGGATAGAATGGGGGAGTGAGACTCTGTCGGCAGCTTTGCTGTCCCTGCATGACAGGGGTCCTGCTCCACCCTAACCCGAATCTAGGCTAAGCGGGACAATCGCCTGCAGCACCGGTGTGTCTCTCTGCAGAAACGGCTCGCAAACCGCTATCTATCGCTGGTAATTACGAGAAGATGACCCATATTGCTCTGCTTGCGCCATCCGCCACCAGGAAGCTTACCTCCATGGGTTAGGGAGCGCAGTCGAAGAGGCCGGACTCTGCCCGATGAGACCTCTGCGTAGTCTCTGTATCAACCAATCTACTACTAGTATACTACACTATACTTCCCGAGGAGTCGGAGCCGAAATAGGATAATTTAAAGTGATTGCAGTTCCCACTATGGAGCCTCGTGTTGTTGGGAATCAGAGGGTCCCCAGTGGGGTTTCTATGTACCTTCCTTTCCTGGCTGATAGCCAAGATGAGATCTGATACAGCGTGAGGACGAACCGCATATCTTGCCATGAAAGGGCATCGGCACGTGGCGCGATACGAGCCTCCTGTCCCGATGCCTCCGACTCCGAGACTCTGCATGGCGAACCGAGTACTGTACACTAAGGGTGGCTAGCGATGCATAGTAAGAAGACCAGGATTGCCAATACATGAGGAATGGAGTCAAAGGAGGAGCCGAAGCCTCTGGAGTCTTCGTATCAATATTAAGCGCACTCAGTGCAATATCCAATAGATTCATATATACGACCCAGTCCCGTGTTGGCCCCCTAGTGCCATGTCTACCTAGTACCTACCTTACTCCGACTACTTTCCCAGAGGAGGAAACCTCCACGCTCCTCAAAGTCAATATCCATCACATGCTCGGGTGGGAAAGTACACTACGAGCCGTCTACACGCAAAGTTCTGTGGCTGGGATACAGGCTACGAGCTACACTTATCAGTTCTCGGGATGGATCATGTTGGGACCAAAAAACATCGTAAATTAAACACAAAACACTATAGCCAGAAGTATGTCAAGAATCCCCAAGACGCCTCACTTTCATAGCAAGTAACCCAAAAGCAGTCCCAATTACTGAATATCAACCTTGGTCACCATCACCACATCGGATTCCACCTTGGGCAACCGCACACTGAGGACTCCATTCTCCATCTCCGCCGTGATCTCGTCGGCATTCAGCTCGACCGGGTGGGCAGCACTGCCCAGGCGGACCTTGCGATCGAAGGCACCCACCCGACGCTCGTCCAGCGCCAGGGCCTTCCGCAGTTCTTCGTCTCCGGGGCGCTCAATAGCACCGGAGATGTTGAGTTCGAACTTGCGCGGATCCCACTTGACTTCCACCGCGTCCTTCTTGGCACCGGGCAGGGAGGCGTGGATGAGGAAAGCGTCGGGGGTGTCGTAGACGTCTACTTCGGGCTGAAACTCGGTGTTGTTCTTGTGGTCGAAACCGAATGGGCCCCAGGGTCCGAAGAAGCCCGGAGGAGGCGGGGGAGGACCGCATCGTCCGCCATGCTTGAATCCGCGCATGTGCTTGCGTCCTCCCCAGTACGGATGCGGTCCGTGATGACCGCCACGACCACCGAATCCGCCGTGAGGGCCCCTGTGAGGGCCGAAGGGCTCAAGGAAGTCGACGTCTTCGCGAGGACCGCAGCCCCCGCGGGGACCAAAGTGGTGACCGCCGAATTTACCCCGTGGGCCTCCGAAACCCTGGGGGCCTCTGTGGCCCAAGAAAGGACCAGGGCCGCCCCGGGGTCCAAAGCCTCTGGGACCACCTGGTCCGGGGCTGTGGCGACGACGACCAGGACCGCCATGTCCCTTGCCGTGGAATCCGCCGTGCTTTCCGTGACCCTTTCGGCCGTGGTGGGGCTTGGGGCCGCGGGGCTCATCGTTTTCTTCGTCGGAGCTGTCCGAGGATGATTCCTCTAGCGCGAGTTCGTGGATTGTTTCTTCGTCGTCTTCGTCGTCTTCCGGGGTGGGCTCGCGGTGACGGCGGTGGTGAGGGCCACGACGTCCGCGGCGACCTCCGCGCCCGTGCCACCGCTCTTCGTGGTCGGTAGCATCGTTGTCGTGATCCTGGTGGTGGGCGAACCCGCGTTCTTCAATCTCAGCGAGGAAGTCCCAGAAGGGAGCAGCTTGGTTGAGTTGGCGTATCGAAGCCATGTTGGTTGTTGTTGTTGTTGTTATGAGAGAAAGAGAGAAAACGGAGTGATGAGATGATGTAGAGGAGGAGAAGGTATTTAAGATCGAGGGATGAATGGAAGGAAGTGTTGTGAGAAGGGAATGGTCATCATCAGCACGGGTGATCTACAGCCTTTATAGATTCCGGTCCAGGTGTTCAGGCTGGATGTTTTGATAGAGGTTCGCCACAGCGATATAGTCGTCGTACTCATTCACTCGCCACTTGCTGCTGCCGGTCGGAGATAAGGCGGGATTCGTATTTCCCGAGCCTCGGACTTTCCACTGCGCTCGGAGATATTGCCGCGCTAGGCCTTTTACAGCGCGATGAGCGCTCAACGTGACTCAGCCCCGAGCCTCTGACGGCTCTAACTGCCTAATATAGAAGCCCAGACCGAGGGCCACTGCCACCTCAGCCACACTGTGAATTGTTATTGCCTGCTGGCGCCATCATTGCAGCCCTATCCCAACACCCCATAGGTCTGAACACTGGCTACTAGTTACGTCGGACCCAGAGGCAAGTTTTGGATCCTTGCTCGTGGCGCTGCCATGTGAAGCCCGACCTCCGCTGACTCACAGCACCCTCCAACGAGGTATCGGGCTTTCTAATTGAGTCACCCCAGGCCACGTAGATGTGCTTGGCTCTCTTGCTCATTGGCAGCGTCAAGTACAGGATCACTGCATCTGTAGGGATGTTTTACATGCGTACCTCTCGGATATAACAGTCCTAGGAGTATGGGAGCTTGAGTTTTGACCTCGGGTTGTTGAGTGTTGACTCTACTCGTGCTGGTGCACAAAGTCCTTTTACATCGCCACCCTAAAGCTAACTTCAGGATTACTTATTGAGTAGTACGAGGTACGTGAGCTAGGTATGCCTTTTCCTATTTGGGAGCTTTCGGAGATGCTCTCAAGGAATTAATTTGCAGTCTGTCAGTAGATTTACTCTACTCCTTACCTCTAGTTGCTGTTATGTACAGTAAGACCACGCGGGAGTTTTATATGTCTTCAAGTTTGTTATTTATCTGACTATTGGGACTGAACACCAATCATCGAAAGTGCAGAGATTGGAAAATCAACCATGTAAAACTGTTTAAAACTGTACCGTAGCGCCTTCACAGTCTAGGTCGGGAATTCTAACCCCCGAGCGGGGGGATTTATTGCCTGCCTCAGGCTGCCACCGCATCCCATAAACTCCGGCGCCGGTGCCCGCCTTTCCCCCCCTCGGACTCTTCCATCTACAGTACAACATCCATCTTCTATTTGTCTCCCCACAATGCTTGTTGTTATGGTTGCCATCCTCTATCATGTCCACCCCCGGAGGATCCCCCCCCGCCGCTTCTTGCAACAAGCCACAGAGAGTCCTATCTTGTGTGCTTTGTCAGCAACGCAAAATTAGATGCGATCGCAAGACGCCCTGTGCCAACTGCCTACGCGCGGGCGCTGACTGTGTGCTGGCCACGCGCCAGCGACGTCGACGCTTCGCCGAGCGCGACCTGTTGGAGCGTCTCCGTCACTATGAGGACCTGCTCCGCGAGCACAACATTCCATTTCAGCCGTTACATCCTTCGCCGGATGACCCGACCTCACCCGGTGAGAGGGAGCCAAGCTCATGCAGATCCGAGCTTGAACGACCCTCGGATGCGAAGCCTAAAGCAGTGTAGGTTCTTGCACCACTGCAAAGCAAAAACAAACCCATCGTGCCGCTAGCTCATGTCTCATATAGAAATCTGTGGCATGCCATGAATCAGAGGGTAATGCAAGTCGCGGATTGAGATCGGGATGACTGGACTGATGTGCCTCCAGGCAGCAGATGCAAGGGACTCTGACCCTGACCACGAGGCAATCCAGGGTGGTCTCAGCCAGGATGTAAATCAGGGCGTGATTACGACTGTCTGGAACCGGATGTATCAGCGCGAACTAAATGATTATCTCTTGCTCGGCCCTGCAGCGACCGACATGGATCTTGCAGCCGCGCACCCAGACCAGGCCCAAATCTTTCGACTTTGGCAGACGTATTTGGATAACGTTGACCCGCTGCTCAAGGTCACCCACACGCCCACCTTGCAGTCCCGCATCATCGACGCCGCAGCCGATTTAGCGCAGGTCCCTCCGGCACTGGAGGCACTGATGTTCAGTATCTACTGCATGGCTCTGCTGAGTTGCACGGACGGAGACTGCCGGAAGGTGCTGGGCGCTCTTCGCAAAGAGAAACTAGGTAGCTACCAGCTTGCTTGCCAGCAGGCGCTTCGGCGCTGTGATGTTTTTCGAGCACCCGATCGCGACAGTTTGACTGCGCTGTTTCTCTACCTGGTCGGTGCATAAGATCATCTCTTGGTTTCTGGAAATACTGATCTCGAAAAGGTGTCTATACGTCAAGATACGGACCCCCGGTCGTTGTCCTCCATGTTGGCTGTGGCTATCCGCCTCGCGCGCCGGATGTGCTTACACCAAGAAGCGGCCAACGCTCGCTACCCGGCGTTGGAAGGAGAGATGCGCCGCCGGTTGTGGTGGTCTCTCATTCTGTTTGATAGCCGCATTTGCGAGACGTTTGACTATCGAACAGCCCCATTAGAACCAACCTGGGACTGTCGGCCGCCAGTCAACATCCACGACTTTGACCTCCGACCCGAGATGAAGGCAATGCCTGCCGCACACGACCGGCCGACTGAGGCAATCTTTGCCGTAGCTCGGAGTGAGATTGCGGACTTTATCCGTCATAGTCCCTTTCATCTTGATCTCACGAATCCACTCCTCCATCGCATGGTGGATAGATCCCAGCATCCCAACGACTTAGTCGAGTTCGAGAATACTATGGAGCGAAAGTATCTCGCCTCCTGTAGCCTCGATAGTCCTCTGCAATACATGATCCTCTGGACGGCACGTGGGACATTGGCCAAGAATCACCTCCTCGAATATTACACCCAACAGGCGAAAGCCCGTGAAGAGCCGACAGAATCTGCGCTGGACAAGGCTATCACACATGCCCTCACTGTCCTCGACTCGGACACCCGACTGATGGCCTCTCCACTCACCGTGGGGTATCGGTGGTTCCTGCTTATGTACTTCCCGCTACCCGCCTACATACACATTCTCCAAGATCTGCGAAGACGACCGGCGAAACAAACCGATGCACTCTGGGAAGCAATGAGTGACAATTACGAAGCGCGCAAAGTGGGTAGCGGAGCGAACGAGTCGCCTATCTTTGTAGTCATCGCACGCCTCGTTCTTCAAACCTGGGAAAAGCGGGAGGCAGCATCGCCTGACGGGACACTACAGCCACCACGAATGGTGGTGGATATTCGCAGAAAGATACTTGAAATGCAAGTCTCCTTCCCCGGTGGCAGTCATCTGGACACGCTGAATAGCGGTGCCATAGCAGCTGGTGGCACGCAGGGATTTCCGCCCCAACTGAATGCGAACATGAGCCCTGAGGCTCACGGTGTCGTGGGCGAACCAGAGATCCTGGGTTCCACCTGTGCAGAAGCCATCGACTACGCTGCTTTGCTCGGGTTCAATCAGGTGGGCATCGATCCGAACCAAGTGTACCTGTCTCCGATGGACTGGATCTTTGCGCAGCCATGAAGTCCAATGCAGAAGCGGCGATGGCATGCGCTGACAGCCGTGCAAAATGGCCCTTCTCAAATGGGTTAGCGGGAATACGCGTATATGATTATATAAGGATGCTCTTCCCGCGCACTGGGGCAAGCGACTCCGTACGCCTTGGTCAATTATTCTATCACCAAGCAAGGTACTTAACTAAGAACTGCACAATGTCTCAACAACATGCACCCTCCAATCAGCACGCACTGCGTCTTCTACAGCAAGAGGCAATGCGGCGAGCACAGGCAGCTCAAGCGCAATCGGCCGCCAGAATGCAGCGACCGGCTTTTGGACTCCCCATGAGTGCTGGCTACTACAATGATCTTCCCATCAGCTCTCCCACCGATCGCACCTGCATTGACCCCACACCACCCCCAAGCACCCCCTTCGACCACCTCTGTCGGGATGGTCCTCTCCCAGCCCTCCAGGAGGCACTGTCCACAAATCCCTTGAGCCCCGCCTTTCTGCATCGAGCCCTTACCCACGCTCTCCGGGCAGGTAATCTCGAAATAGCCGGGTATCTCATCACGAGCGGAGCCCCAATCCTTCAACGCACCCCGATCAGCATCTTCGACGGTCCAGAAGACCAGCGCCTTCCAATGTTTGATCTTCTCAGCCGTCGCGGATGGCACCCCCACACCCACCGTCCTGTTGACAGGATCGTATTGAGTCGGGTGGTCAACGATGCCCCTGTGCTGGAATGGTTTCTTGCCCACGGGTTCAATCCCAACGACGTGGGCTCAACCACGGGAGCTCAAGGGCTGACTCCCCTCGAACTGGCCGCCAGCTACGGGAATCTCGAAACCGTCCGCCTGCTTCTCGACGCGGGCGCAAATATCCGAGAGGGCGCCCCGCTACACTGCGCGGCGGGCAGATATCCCGCTGGCTGGAATCCACATGTTTACCCAGACCACAAGATACAGAACGAAGACTCCGACCGTGCGCAGGTCCCAGTCATGGAGTTGCTCGTCGAGCGCGGAGCGAACGTGAACGCAGCGGAGGAGACACAGCACATGACGCATCGGTATGCCATTGTCTATGCGGTCGTGGCGGGTGCAAGACATCGGGTGCGGTGGTTGCTGGCGAACGGGGCAGATCCGGACTTGAGAGGGCCATTTGGAAGTGCGCGGGAGAATGCGCAGAGAACTGGAAGGCAGGACTTGGTCGAGTTGATGGACCCAGGGGTATCCAAGTGAATACAGGAGGGGGTCGCGCCTGAGGATGCTGAATAATAGGCTGCTTACCAATACATGCTTACTGCTGATCCGCCAGCCTGCTTCGCTCGGAAGACAGCAAACCCCGAGGGATGATGTACCACCCAGACACAGACGATACAACCTATCGGGGTCAAAAGTCCAGCTGCTTAAGACATTCCTGCAATCTGACTCAGCGGATAATGGCAGTCCTAAATCCTGTGCAACCCTCCGCAAGGCAAGAAAGACAAAGGATCTTAGAGGTTGAGCGGGGCCTTGGCCCACATGACGTATGGCATATATGAACAGAGGCCACCACGGTGTCACCAAACCCCCATCAAGCCAGAATCAGTGCGCTTGACTGCATACCCTAGAAAAGCCAAACGCTATGACTGACAATCTCGCGACGGAACGACTGCGGAAACTCGCTGGGTTTTTCGCAAACAACCCATCCATCCAATATGTCACCCCGACCTCGCCCCAGTATGCGGAGCTGTGCGCGGCATATGTGTCTTTACCCGACCTAAACCCCCTTGCGATCGCTCGCCCATCTACCGTGGAGGCGGCGACTTCTGTGGTGTCCTTTGTGGTGACTAACGACATCCCATTCACAGTCCGATCGGGAGGCCACGACTCCTTCGGGCGATTTTTCCGAAATGGGGCGGTCGCGGTCGACCTGCGTCTCATCAACTACGTCGAAATTGACCAAGAGTCCTCGACCGCGCGGATCGGCGGAGGCATCCTCGGGGGGCATATGATCCGTGCGCTGCAGAAGCATGGGCTGGCCGCCGCAGTTGGGACGATCTCCTCGGTCGGATACGCCGGCTGGGCGATGTACGGTGGCTATGGACCGTACAGCTCCAAATTTGGATTGGGAGTTGATCAAATCCTGGCAGCCAAAGTCATCAATGCCAAGGGGGAGCTGGTGGACGCCGACGCGGAGCTACTGAGGGCCCTCCGTGGCGCGGGGGGAGCATTCGGGGTTGTCGCCGAGCTCACAATTCCGGTGCACCGCCTTGACCAAGTATGTCTTGATTCACATATCCCTAGCTGGCGACTCTAACCTTCTGCAGACTCTCGCAGGCGCCATTGCCTTCCAGTCCGATGATCTCCCTGTAGTCATCCGACAGTACAATTTGGGCTACCAGGCCCTAAGTGCCGAAGGGATCCCCGCAGAGCTCACTCTGCAACAGAGTATCATCAACCTTCCCCACGGTAAGACCTTGGTTGTCCTGTTCGTGTGGGCGTCCCCGGACATCGAGACTGGACAATTATGGGCTGAGAAGATTTGCGCTCTGGCTCCGGTGGCTCACAACGCCATCCAACCAACAACGCCCCTTACCTATCTGACGGACACGGATCGCATGGTGCCGTCGCATACGCGTGGACGTGTGCGGACGATCAGCCTGAAGCGATTGAGCGACGAGGTTTTGGACGTGATCTCCGCCAACGTCCTGAAAATGCCGGCGGATCCGCACACCATTTTCGCCATGCACGAGCTTCGGACCGGCACCCCATCGGCCCAGGCCCACTCCGACTCTGTATTTGCGGCCCGCGAGGGCCACTTCGTGTTTGAGATCATTGGGAATGCGCAGCGCGAAGAGAACCTGGATCGTGCGACCGCATGGGGGCAGGACTTCTGGAACGAGTTGACCCGCACCGATCCGGAGAATGTTCTCCCGGCGACGTATCTGTCCTTGTCGGCTCCGGAGGAGGTGCAGATGTCGCGAGTGTTTGGGGAGAATTATGCGTGGCTGGTGGACATGAAAGGCAAATACGATCCTCGAGGGGTGTTTGCGGCGGCCACGGCGAGGCTTTGAGCCGTCTGTTCAATCTGCGTCAAGTTATCCTGCTCTCTTGAGGTTCTACTTCCTGCTCAACGCGGTAATGATAATCAGAAATAGGACGACAATACGCACAAGAAGTCCGTCTTGCGCGTTCTTGGACGTGGAAGCAACTAGAAAACAACCTCGATAGCGACCAGCTGAGTTCATAATGGTGTCATCTCAGCCGCACGGGCATATCTCAACATGACGTTTCCATGGGCGTGTCAGCTATCCAGGCACTATCGAATCGATCGTCGCGGATTGAGTTTCGGGAGAGGAACCGCCAAGAAGCGGATGTCACATCCGGCCGCTTGACAGGCTCGGATTCTGTCATCATCGTTGCATCGTGCATCGTGCATCTCATCTCATCTCCTCTCCCCATCATAGATTCCCTTCAACCCTTATCATCTTAGCCTACCAAGACTCTATCTGCGTCCTTAGTCGATCCAAAGTTTCCGGCTGTAGTTGCCGCCCCAACTATATAATCCGGATTCATGATTGATATTTTGAACGTGTTTAGACACCATTCAACATCACAACTCCATAAGTACACTACACTACACGACATACACCTCGCTGCAAGTGCATTGACCATGACCATGACCACGAACCTCTGGTTCTCCGCCCGGTTTATTCGCCCCTGGGCCATCCGCCCACTTACCTGGCATAGCGTCCGACTCTCCAGCACCGCCCAAACCAGCATCAAACACCCGCTGCCGGACGGACCGGCGCAGCAACAGCGTTTCCGCGAATTCAACCTCGATGGCAAAGTTTTTGTCGTCACCGGGGGCGGTCGAGGGCTAGGGCTGAGCATGGCAGAGGCACTCGTGGAGGCCGGGGGGGAAGGTATGCACCAGGCCCCAGTTACCACTCAATCGAGTACACCACTGCAACATAGCCCGAAGATACTGATATAAAATGATAGTTCACTGCCTGGACCTCCTCCCGACCCCGCACGCGGACTTCCACGCCACACAAGCGCGGGCAAGCCCGGACTTCGGCGGCGGACTGCACTACACGTCGCTGGACGTGCGGGACCGACCTGCCACGGAGACGGCGCTGGCGAGCATCGCGGCGCGGCGCAACCGGCTGGACGGGGTGATTGTGGCGGCGGGGATCAACCACATCGCGGACGCGCTCGATTACACCGACCACGACATCGCCCGCATCATCGACACGAACTACACCGGGGTGTTCTATACGGCCACGGCGGCGGGACGGCAGATGCTGGCCCATCGCACCCGCGGCTCCATCCTGCTGGTGGCCAGTATGAGCGGGCTGATCGCCAACAAAGGGATGTACTCGTCCATCTATAACTCCTCCAAGGCGGCGGTCGTCCAGCTCGGATGTAGTCTGGCCATGGAGTGGGCGAAGGTGGATGGTGATGGCAGTGGTGGGGTCCGGGTCAATGCCCTCTGTCCCGGCCATGTGGTCACCCCCATGGCGCACATGGTCATTGATCGGGATCCTGCTACGAAGAGACTTTGGGAGACGGAGAATATGATGGGGAGGTTGGGGCGACCGGAGGAGTTTCGTGGGCTGGCGCTGTTGATGATGAGTGAGGCGTCTAGTTTCATGACCGGCGCGACTTTGGTTTGTGATGGGGGGCATACCGCGTGGTAGGGGGTGTCTTTGGGTGGGAGAGGTGACATTTTGGTTTGACTACTAGGTCCTGTTTTGGGACAGCGAGAAGTGCTATAGTGGATGTTTGTCAAGTGATGCGATCGATGCGTTCAGTGTAGTTAGACCTTGGATCGCATTGAAGCGAGCACATTATGAGCGACGTGTGCATATGCATGGCTTTTAAGAGGGTATAATGCATTGTTTAATTTTCTATTCGACAATTCAATTCGAGTACTTCGTGATTTTATCTCTAGTCGCACAAACCTACTTCAACTCTTCCATGTCCCCGTAGTGACCCTCCGCTTCTGAGGACCGCAACGCCTTCCCCGGCGGACACAGATGGAACACCGCCTGCACCACAAACATGGGCACCGCGTCAAAGCAATAGATATACGCCTCATGCGTGGCCAAGAATCCGCCTGATCCCTGCGCCGCCTCGATCACCCGGTACACACACCGCAGGATGATCAGCGCTGCCGCCACGAAGCAGAAGTAAAGCAGCGTGCGCCAGTGCGTTCGTCTGCGGAAGAGCATCATCTTGCGTAGCCGCATTTCGAAGATCACAGCCGTAAGGAAGAACAGTCCGAAGGAGAGGAGCTGGATAATCAGCCCGACAATCAGGACCTTTTGGCCGGTTTGGGCTGTGGAGGTCGAGCACATCATTGACCCGCCGCCGAGCTGGGTCAGGAAGGAGAGGGTGTCGCCGAGGACGAAGATCTTGGTGACTTTGGTGGGGGCGATGATCGATAAGGCAGGTTGGTGGACGAGGAGGACAATGCGGCCATAGAGCATGTAGATCGAGGCGGCGTAGAGCGATGGCGGGAGGAGAATGCAGATATATTGGATGATGTAGGGGGTGAGTTTGTCTGGGGATTGAGCGGAGATGATCCGGGTGATGTACCCGATGGTCATCACTGCGAGTGTATTAGTATCAGTTGCATGCAGGGCGTGTCTCAGCGGGGATGGCGACGTACTGATGGCGCCAACGATGAAAACGAGGAAGAAACGAGCGCGATATTTCCAGGTCTGGTAGCAGTGTAGGAGGCTGCTGCTTCCGAAGAGCAGGGCTGCCACGACTGCTGCTCCCACGCTGGGGTCGAAGCCGTAGATGTTCGTACTCGCAACCATGCTTGGAGATGATAACGTCGAACAAAAGAAAAACTAAATGAGTGACTATGGCGTTGGAGGGCGAAGATGAGCGTGGAGCAACGATCAGCCAGCTACAAAGCTCATGAGTTCTTATAATCTAGAAAATGTAGTTCTTGCTGCCTACGCATTCTACCCCCTATACTTCCACTCAAAGGTCCGGAACAAATTGACTCCTTTCATTCATCAACCTTCCATTCAACATAATTCATGTCTGGGATGCCCTCTCGAGAGCGAGAACGAGAGCGAGAACGAAAACGAGAACGACGGCGGGGCCGAGCTATAAATAGCCCTCGGTACATGAAGTCCTCGTCAGCCTTCACAACTTGGCCTTTTCGGAAAACCGGTAGACAACATCCCCGAAACTTCCCCCAGGGAAAACATAAAGCCACTTGAAATCCTCATCACTGTCGTTCATGACCGAGTGCTCTGCATCCCCGGGGATAAACACGGCCGTGCCCTTGGCGACCCGGTGGGGCTGCCCGTCGATCGTCACCGTGGCGCGACCTTCGAGCACGTAGTAAAGCTCTGCTTGCGTGTGACGGTGGGCGCAGAGGTGGCCCGTCTGCGGAGAACAGACGGCAATTCCAGCACAGAGATCGCTCGTTGGGGTGGTTGGGTGGGTGAAGAGAGTGCGCCAGGTGAGATGGCCGTGCGAGGGGTCAGGGAAGGATTCTGGGGCTTGGGAGGCAATCGCTTCAAGGGAGAGAATGACTGGTTTGGTCTTGGAGGGTGGCATACTGATGGGATTCTTATCTCTGTTCCATATGCCATCACCCCTACTGGAATGCGATCGGCCTTATATGAGGGCAGTCGATCTATGCGATGATGCAATCTCGCGGTAAGAAGAGTGCCTTTTTGGGTATAATTATGCGGAGATGAGGGGATGAGGGGTCATCAGCTGCAGAGATAGCTTTGCACTTGCATTTCACCCGTTCAATTCAACTAAATACCAGGGACTTTCTCACTGTTTTGGGCATCTGCAACACCAGAAAGGGATCAGACTCAAATATCCCACATCCAGCCAAATCTGAACATTGATCACGAATAACCCCACCCCCAGGCTCTTACCAACCCCATCAACCGGACATCGCAACCAGGACGTTGGGAACCGAAGCAAACGAGCGTTTATCCTATGCGACCGTCAGATGTCGGTCCCATCGGGATCTCGGAAGGGCAAGGGCAACTCACATTCTTATCGCGACACGCCCAATCCGCCCGCATCCGCTGCGACACGAAACACTGCAACTGCCATGTCGACTTCTCTAGCCAAATCTCTCGGGCGGCGGCCGCGAGTTCGCGGGCGCTGACGGTAGAGGGCTCTTCACCGGCCAGCGTCTCATGCTCACGGATGATTTCGTGCAGCTCGCGCACGATGACCGCGCAGCCGTTGCCCTTGGCCAGATCCGCCGACTCCTTGGGGCTGGCGATGCCCGTCAGCAGCTCGGCCGACGTAAAGCTGGCGGCAGACAGCGAATCCAGGTCCAGGGCGATCAGCAACGGGCACAGGTGCACAACGAAAAAGATGAAGTAGGCGCGCTCGAGAAGGTCGGGCACGGGCATGTCGTGGTTGCTCATGCGCGGGTCGATCTCGATCCCCGTCGTGCTCGTGAAGTGTGCACCATTGAAGCGTGTGCCGCTCATGTCCCGAGAACTAAATCCCAGGATCTGGCCGGTGCTGCGCGAGAACCGCACGAGGGAGTTCTGGCCGTGCGCATCCAGCAGGAGGCCGTTGCGGAAGAGAGGGGTGAGGAAGCAGCGGAAGTACACGCGGGTGTAGCTGTGCATCTGGTCAGGATCTGCTTGTATGGATTTCCGGGAGGGGAAGGGCACTCACTCGCGCAGGAAGTTGAGACGATCGGCCAAGCTTGTCAGCTCAAAAGCCGACTCGGCCACACAGCCCTTCTTTCCGATCTCTGCGGGCTCAATCAATGCCCCTGTGACTGCGTAGCCCACGTCTGCGTCGACGGGGGGCCGCGAGCTGTGGTAAGGATCCCATCGGACCATACACGCTAGGTGATCGCCCAGTGCATTCGCGCATGTTACCTCGGGGAGAATCTCGAGCGGGATGCCTTGCAAACCGCAGACTCGGGCAGGGTCGAGCATACCCGCAGTCCAGTAGCGCACGGCATTATAGGCAGAGCGGTGGTTGATAGTGCGGATGTTATCCCCAATGAACATGGAGAGCGAGAGCTTGATGCCTAGGCCCGGGAGGGAGGGGATTGTCATGCTCCGCGTCGACGCCTGCGCCAGGGCCTTGATTCTCTGAGGCAGCAGTCGGAGCTTGCCATCGGCCTCGGGTCGCGAAAGCAGGAACCGGACTTGGAATTCGTGTACTGGCAGCACGACCTCGTTAGGGAGAGCCGCGGTTCGGGGGTCAACGCCGGCGGCCTTCAGCAAGGGCGCCAGCTCCTGCTCCAGGGGACCGTAGGAGTCGATGAGATCGCGTTGCACCGCCATAAACGCGATCTCGGCTTGTTTGAAGTTGAAGCCACTCGTGGGCTGTGTCTTGGGATCAACCGGCATGCGGCATTTGTGAAGAGGGTTGATGTTCGCTTCCACGATGGACTGTTCCCAGGTGATGAAGCTCGAGTCCCGAGTAGGGCATGGCCGGTTCTCTGCGTAGGCGTCAGCCAGATACTGGGTGGAACAGCGAAGTTGCGCCTCAAAGATGCTAGTAAGACGAATATCCCACCCCGTCCAGCGACAGAGGATGTTGACGAGGAAGTCTGATGCGACGTTGTCGTTGATGTCGGTCCACGGTGCTGACTCGTCCGCTTTTTGCTGGTAGCACCATCGGCCGAATGCAAGGTCGGACTCGGTCACCAAGCCAGGTACAAAACTCCCGTTGGAATCAATGGCTTGAACACGGAAGGGGGTCGTGCCCGAGAAGATGAATCTTTCCTTGGGGTATTCATTCTCTGTGAATGGGGTAACATGGTAGAGGCCTTCATCCGGATGGTAGAGGACGCGAGCCAGCCGTTCGTTGGCAACCAAGGCCACGGTGCGCCCGAGGGAACCTCGTTGAGCGGACAATGTCGATTGCTCCATAGTGGTGATCTGTGATGATGCTGCTAAAAAGCATCCAAGTCTACCCAGACACTCCATCATTTATTTCCTTTGGCCTGGCTAGGCTTCCAAGTGATCCCCCGCAATCCCGCAATCCCGCAATCCATCATCCGCCAATCCTGTCTTGCTTCCGCCCACAGCCTCCTAGCCCTAATGCTGCGAGACACAGCCATCACGAGCCATATTCGGAGATTGGAAAATAGCTGTTCTGCACGATACATGTTGTACATCATTGGAAGGCTCTGATGCAACGAGTCACTCCACAAGGGCTGGGGTTCTTCGTCACACTTACACCCCATCCCAGCACTAACCGATATGGAATACCAAAAGCCCGGTGAAGCCAGGGATGAATTTAGTTTCTGTGGAGCTGATCGAACATTCTAATCTAGCAAATTATCAAATCTGTGTGATTTGAGACTCGAGGCTTTCCAACATTCTGAGCCTTTATACTCTCCTACGATCCTCGTCTGCGATATGATTTTCACACGTTGGAAAAAAGGCGCTCTGAGCAACGAATGCGCGGTGGAAGCAAGTACTGAAGACTTTCAAGATTTGCTACGACTTATAGCAGCGATTTCTACAGGGGATCACTTGAATCTACCAGGGACATGGAATATCGTCTTCCAGACAGACGTGTTGCTTGTGAATTTTGAGATACATTGCAAATGTCAAAAAGGGTATAGAATAAGCATAAGTGCGGAACGATATCGTAGTGATCACGAAAATCACAGTTTCGCCTTGGGTTCGGCCTCAGTGAAAGGGACATACACTTGCTGCGGTCGCCAGAGCCTGATCGGAGCAACTAGAAGGCCATTAGCTCAATATTGCCCAGAACGGGGTTGGAGAATGAAACAGAAAAACATACCCTGAGTCTCGCGCCAATGGGCCAGTCCACCTGGCACACGAGAAAGACCAACGATGGCAGCAAACATGTTCGTCTCGAAGCCCCTGTAGTGCTATTAGCATGACATAGTTGGACTGGACAAGTCGGGTGGCTCACATGGCAGTGTACAGGAAACAACCCTTCAGATCGGCGTTCGCCTTCACGTTCCGCTCGACAAAATACTGATCCTCGTTTGCCTGACGATCCACAGCCATGGCAATCCGGAGGATCGGGTTGGCATCGATCGCATCCTTGTGCTCGTTCATCAACTCCTCGATCAGCGACAGGCGCGGGTCGCGCGTCTTGTACACGCGGTGGCCGTAGCCGAACAGCCGCGTCTTCGAGGTCTTGACTCCCTCAATAAATTCCGGCACATTCTCCGCGGAGCCGATCATCTCCAGCATCTCGTAAGCCAGGTCGATCGCCCCGCCGTGCAGGGGCCCCATCCCCGAGCCGATTCCGGCGATGATGCCGGAGATGGGGTCGGCCAGGGAGGAGCCCGCGTGCAGGAGGGCGGCCGTTGAGTTGGTCATCTCGTGGTCGGCGTACAGGATCCACAGCTTGTCCAGGCACTTTTCCACCCGCGGGTCGGTGATCCCCATCATCCAAAGGAGATTGCCGATCAGGGAGCGGTGGGGCTGTGGCGGAGTGAACTTCTTGCCCTGCTTGTGGCAGTAAATCAGGGCGACGGTGGTGGCGTAGTAGGCGATGGTGCGGACGATCATCTCGTCGGCGACGGGGAGGTTGCTGTGGAACATGGGCTTGATCTGGCGATGGGAGGCGCGGACGAGGTCATCGGAGGCGGCGAAGGCGCTCAGTCCGGCCATCAGCATCGTGAAGGTTTCGGCTTCGGGGCTTTGAAGGTAGGACTTCAGTCAAATTGATCGAGGGGAGGTTGTCGAAAGGGAGCTTACGGGAATGCGGCAATCACATCCACCACCGATTGGGGAGGCACAGCCTGCTTGGCGACAGCCGCGCGGAAGTCGATCTTTTGCTTGGCCGAGGGCAGAGAGCCCCAGATGAGAAGATGCATGACATCTTCGTATACGTAGTCGTGGAACAGTTGCTGGATGGGGACTTCACGGTAGCGGATGATCCCACGCGTGCCATCTCTAGGAACATAATGTCAGTCAGCCACAGGACAAGCCCTAACGGCCCGGAGCAAGCATGGGCACCTACACCAGTGTCACGCTGGACTTCATGCACGCAATGTTGGCGAAGCCATTGTCCAGAATCCGCAAAGACCGCGGCGCATGGAGATCCACATCGCTGCTGTTCTTCGTAGGCTCGGGGGATTGGATCTTGCTCAGATCGGAGGCGTGGATGTAATTGCCGGGGTGAATGGGGACTTTGATGCTCGCGCCCGATCGAGAGTCGAGAACTTGCAGATGAGCAGGTTCCAAAGGAAGCGAACCTTCCACTACTTGTTGGAGCTGGGTAGTCATTATGATATGTGAGGGGCTAATGTGATGTTGAACATCTACACTACAATGGTGTTGTTTGGGTATATAATCTCTCATGATGGGTTTGCCTGATCTTACTGATCGATGAGGCGCAGTCCGGCAATCCAACAATCCCGCAATCCCTCCACACAATCTATTCGGCTAGAGCACCACCCACAGTCCAGCAATCCTTTGATCCCTCAGCCTTTCAATTATGCGCCTGTGATTGGCACTGCAAGCCATTGTTGTGGGAGCCATATCTGTTGGTGGTTTATCTGCATAACGACCTTCCGACCCTCCGTGAAGGCCACTGCTGCTGAGCACTGACGGTCGCAATTCTGGTCCAATTCTGGTCCAACGTCCACTCAGTCACCATGCAGGACAAGCAAGAGTTGCGCATTCTCACCCCAGTGGGGATGCTGGGATACGGCTTCAGTGAGCCACTGTTTTGGCAAGCCGTCGACGCCGGGGTAGATGCGATTGTGTTGGACAGCGGATCCACGGATGGCGGACCATCACGACTGGCTTTGGGGTCTACGACATTTCCGACCGAGCGATATGCTCGCGATTTAGCCATTCTGATCGCGGCTTGTCATTTCCACCGCGTGCCCGTCATCATCAGCTCGGCGGGGGGCAACGGGGAGGACGACGCGGTGGACATGTTTGTCGACATCATCACCCAGATCATCGCCGAGAAGCACTATCGCCCGCTAAAGGTGGTCACCATCAAGTCCGGAATCTCGAAAGAAACGGTCTCGCAAAAGGTACAGGCCGATCGAATTGTCCCGTGTGGCGCTGCGCCTCCCTTGCAGGAGGAACACCTGGACCAGGCCCGGTTGCTTGTCGCGCAGATGGGGCCCGAGCCCTATGTGAAGGCGATGCAGGAGCATCCAGATTTCGACATCATCATCGGAGGACGCTCGTACGATCCAGCCCCTTACGTCGCGGTTTGTCTGTACCACGGCTTCACGGATCTTGGGGTCATCTACCACATGGGCAAAATCATGGAATGTGGGGCCTCGTGTGCCACGCCCAAGTCCCCCGAGGCCCTGGCGGTCATTCGCAAGGAGCCCTCGTGCTTCGAGATCACCCCGCTCAAGCCCAGTGCGCGCTGCACGAAGAACTCGGTCGCTGCGCACGCGCTGTACGAGAACGCTCGTCCCGATATCCTCCACGGACCGGGGGGTGCTTTGCTCTTGGCCGATGCGTCCTACGAAGAACTGGCTGATGGCCGAACCGTGCGAGTGTCGGGGGCGCAATTCCAGAAATCGGACCCGTACATGGTCAAGCTGGAAGGGGCGCGAGTCAGTGGGTATCATGGCATTGTCATTGGGGCCGTTCGCGACCCAATATTGATTCATCAGATTGACTACTTCACCACGGAGGTTGTCAAGGCGATGCACGAGAAGCTGGAGTTTGACTTTGACTGCCGGATGCATGTCTACGGCAAGGACGGGGTCATGGGAGCTCTCGAACGAGATCGATCCACCATCCCCAAGGAGGTGGCCATCATCGCCCATCTCCATGCCCAGACCCAGTCGCAGACGACCGAAGCCTGTAAATTGGCTCGAACCTATCTGGTCCACGGACCCTACCCTTACCAAGCGGCCACGGGCGGCAATCTCGCCATGCCCATCAACCCGAGCAATTTGACCCTGGGACCGGCTTGTGAGTTCTGCGTCTACCATCTCATGCAGGTGGACGATCCGATTTCCCACTTTCCGATCGCCGCACAATGGACGCCAGGATTGTCGGAGGACCAGGGACAATTGGCAGTGCACCCGAGGGACAATTTGCAGCGGAAGAATGGAAAGAAACTCAAAGATCGCCCGATGCCCCCTTGCGAGCTGGGCTCCAGGGATGTTTTCCTCCAACCGCCCCCTTCCCCAGGCCATCGCTACCTCGGCGACATTGCCTCGGTGGTGCGGAGTAAGAACGCTGGTCCGTTCGAGCTAACCTTTGACGTCCTGTTTCGCGATCTCAACGCGCTCGAGAAGGTCCGCGCGACAGAGGTGCTCAATGCCGACACCATCGCTCGTCTGTACCATATCCCGGCGGAAGAGGTCCTGGTGTGCATGTACTGGCCCTCCGCCTGTGCTTTCAAGGCGACGATCAAGCGACCCATCGTGTGTGGAACTTTCGGGGAGACGGACACCCATGGGTCGCAGCAGCATATTCCGTTGTTATATTTGGAGGTTCCTTGGGTGGAGTAAGCGTACAGTACATTTATGTCAATGCAGAGAATGATCTTCCATACTATGTAGCCTTTCCTTTTCTCATAACGACTTCTTAAACTCATTTTGGTGTGGTGCTTCTGTTGGACACCCTCACTGAAACTTGAGCTAGGGGTCTTTAAATTATCATTTTGCAATGATGCAACCTGGACTGATGCTTTACTCGAATGCACTTTCAGCTACCCGATCGCCTCTACACTTAACGCGGGTAACAAAACTTCTCAAGTGACAAGATGTTTTCAACCTAGTAAAACTAGTCGATCATATTTGGAACGGGGAATCAAGAGTAGCTAAGTACATAGACACGGTCACGCCTCAATCGGATCCCAGAAGACAAACGACCTCGCCTCGATGGACCGCCTCGTCGGCGCATCTTCCGGAGTGTCATTATCCCAGAACGCTCCATGTGGCACGACCTTGGTCACATCGGTATCGAACGAGCTGAACACCAACGCCTCATCGACGTCCAGGTCGCTGGCGAAGTAGTACTCGTAGCGCGGATCAAACTTCAGCACCGTGTCGTGGTCCTTGCCCCCGGTCTCAGCCTCGGAGGGGTCATTGATAGTGTACAAGCGTTCCATGTGTGTGTCATAATGCCAGTCCTCAATCTTCTCGTGGTTAATCAGTAGCAGCGGCCACTGCTTGACGGCCTGGTCGATCGACCGCCACACATTGACGGAGGCCCAGCGCCGGTGGGTGCGCACGAGACGCTCGGCCTCCTCAGCACCGACGACGTTCTGCAGCCGCAAGAACCCGTTGTCTAGGTCGCGGTCGACGTGCGCCACGGCCAGTGAGCTCCCCTTGGACTTGGCGGCGAAAACATTCTTTGCGTTCAGGTTCTGCTGGCGCACGCGGAACCCGAACGGGATCACTATTGCGGCGCCGGTGACCTCGGTGACGAGTTTCTGGACTTCTGGGTAGTACTGCGCTTCAATCGTGGCTTTGCCTTCCTCGGTGTCGGCGGCGGCGAGGAACTGCTCTGGGGTGATGGAGGTGGTGTGGCGAACGACCTGGTAGCCTTTGCTGGCGTGGGTGGGTTGCGGCGACACTGAGCGGAGGTCCGTCACGGTGATATCGATTTCTTTCGGGGGTTTGATGTTGGTGGAGCCGTTGGCGTGGTCGATGTAGGCGTTTTCCCCGTCGCGAGTGCCATTCCACATGCCCACCTTGCCGGTGGTGTTGCGTGTGACGAGAGTACCTGGCATAATGATTGAACAAAGTTCGTTTGGGTGAATTGGGTTACGATGAAGTTGGATAGTCGATGTGAGACAGCTACGAGCTACACTGCAGAGGATGGTGGATATAGTGCTATCTACGACGGCCATATTCTTGGAGATGCAGGAAGGAGAGGAATCGTGGATTCGGGGATGGATGGATCAATGGATGGATGGATTGCGGGATTGCGGGATGGCCGGATCAGTCCGGGGCTGGCCTTACTTGGCCTCATCGTCTGACATGCAGGACGGAGTATGCCGCTGGTGACTTCTTCCATGTGTCAGCGCAAGTATTGTGAGGAAAATCAAAATCCCTTATTCATTGGCACGAACAAGGCGAGATAAGTCTTAAGCCCGTAGTTCTAGGTGTACGTGCTCCGGCCACACTAAGTCTGGCGATAGTCAGCATGATACCTGCATTGAAGTACAAGCATAAGGCTATTGATTACTTCGTTGAGTAAGAACGAGAGTGCAAGGTGCTGCATAATGTAATCTGCTCGATTGACTGAAGATGTGTAGCACATCTGCAAAACATGACAGTGCCGGTTGGTCTCTAGGGTTGGGATTTGCTCACATGACTTGACTGCCACGACTGAAACATCGAAACTCGTAGTTAGCATGTCGAGTCCTGCATTCTTATGTACATGCACCAGAGCGGTAGTAAGAAGAGATACCTCAAGTAACAAGAAATGCCCGAACATTGTCATGCCCTATGCCACGACTATACTCCGGCCTTTTCAAGGCTTGCTCTGGGGCTTCATACTATTCTCCTCGACCCCCCCCCTCCCCCCCTTGAACCCATGCTTTGGCAAAGATGAGTCAGGGTCCAGGCAGCCACAAAGCACAGATCTTGGTCGGATTGATATACTTGGTTTCCTTGGTACGTGCTCAGCATACTCTTTCACTAGCTACTGACAGGCTGTAGCTCATGCTCGGTCCATGTTTGTCACGTCTCGAGTCAATCTTGATTTCATCTCTGCCTAAATCTCCGGCTGATCGACAGGGTCTGATTCTCAACGTCGGTCCACTCGAGGTGCAGT